TATGTATATATTTTACTAAGCTTCTACTAAATTAGGTTTCCATACAGCCCACCAGATTACCCTTAGTTTTTGCTGTCCCCCCCAAACCCTTCTCCTCATCTTCCCTGTCTCTCCCCATTTGAACCTCCTTGTTTCAGCCTCCCCTCCCCTATAGCTAGTCTCTTTCCCCTTCTTGGGGAGATCCTTTCCTTCCTCTTAGCTTAATATCTAACCTGTGGTTATATGGATTGTAGTTTCCTTATCAAAGTCGTAATTGCTAACATCCACACATTTGTCTTTTTGGCATGGGTTACTTTACTCAGATAACTAACTCCATCCATTTACCATTACTTCATGATTTTTTTTTTAAACATCTGAGCAATAATTTCATTGTGTAAATGTGCCATGTTTTCTTTATCTATTCATCCATTGACAAACAAGTAGACTATTTCTACTTTCTGGCTGTTATGAATAGATCAATAATGAACATGCTTGAACAAGTGTCTCTGTAGTAGAATATAGAGTCGTTTGGGCCCAAGTACTGTCTCAGTTAGGCTTATCATTGCTGTAATGAGACACCATAGCCAAGGCAACTCTTATAAAAGAAAGCATTTAATTGAAGGCTTGCTTACCAAGGTTTCAGAGGTTTAGTCCATCATCATGGCGGGAAGCATGACGGCAGGCAGGCATGCATGGTGCTGGAGAAGTAGCTGAGAACTACATTCTAATCCAGAGGCAGCAGACTGGGGTTGGGGGTGCAGTAAGGGCTTTTGAAATATCAAAGCACCCACAACTCCTCCAGCAAAGCCACACCTACTCCAGTGAGACTGTACTCCCTAATCTTTCCCTGACAGCTAGGGACTAAGCATGCGTGGCCAATCTCATCCAGTCCACCACAAGTGGCATACACTAATATAATCTATTCCCAGCTTCCCCAGAAACCACCATACTATCTTCCCTAATGACTATACAATTTTGCAGTCCTACCAGCAATAGATGAGTGTTCCTCTTACCCCATATCCTTGCCATCACGAGCTGTCATTTTTTTTTGTTTTTGTTTTTGTTTTTGTTTTTTTTTTTGTTGTTGTTGTTCTTGGGCATTCTGGCTGGCATAAGATGAAATCTCAAAGTAATTTTAATTTCCATTTCCCTGAAAGACTAAGGACATTGAACATTTCTTTAAGTGGTTCTTAGCCATTTGAGTTTCCTCCTTAGTGAATTTGTTTGGATCTGTACCCCATTTTTAAATTGGGTTATTTGTGTTCTTGATGTACAGTTTTTGAGTTATTTACATATTTTAGATATTAGCCCTGTTAAATGTGTGGTTGGTAAAAATCTTTGTACAAATGATGGTGTCCTTTGCTATGCAGAAGCTTCTCAGGTTCATCATAAGGTGCCATTTAGTTGTTTTTCTTATTTCCTGCGGTATCGGTGTTTTGTTCAGAGAATCTTTTCTTTAACTAATGATTTTAAAACAATTCCCCACATTCTCTTCTATCATATTCAGTCGTTCTGGTCTTATATTGAAGTCCTTGATCCGTCTGGAGTTCAGTTTTGTGCAGGGTGACAAGTACAGATCTGTTTGCACTCTTCACATGCAGCCATACTGTTTGGTCAGCAACATTTGTTGAAGATGCTATCTTTTTTTCCAGTGCGTATTTCTAGATTTTTAAAACCAATAAACCAGGTGTACATAGGTGTGAGGACTAATGTATTATGGGCCTTCAATTTGATTCCATTGGTCAACCTGTCTGTTTTTTTATGCCAATGCCATGCTGTTTTCATTATTACAGTTCTGTAGTACAGTTTGAGATCCAGCAGTTCTTTTATTATTCAGTATTGTTTTTGCCATCTTTGGTTTTTTTCGTTTCCATAAGAAGCTGAAAATTGTCTTTTCAATTTCTGTGAAGAATTGTGCTGGGATTTTGATGGGGATTGCCTTTGTTAGGATCTAGCTCCAAACTTTAAACTATCTAATTGGAAAGGTTTAAAATTTAATTGTTCCTTATGATATACATGTGTGTGTGTTTTAAGTATTGAATTCTTAACACTAAACTTGTAATTAAATATTTGAGTTAGATTTAGAAATCAGAACTGCCAGTAGTAACCCAGACTCTGTTAGGAAGTGGCCTACATCGCTTGATTTTTCAATTTGTTTATTATTTTTTATTTTATTGGTATGGGTGCTGTGCCTTCGTGTGTGTCTGTGTACTACTGGCATGACTGGTTAGAAGAGCACACTGGATCTCCTGGAGCTGGGTTAGCAATGGTTAGAAGCTGCCATGTGGGTGCTGGGGATCAAACCCAGATCCTCTGGAGGGGCCTAGTGCTCTCAACCTCTGGGCCATCTAAGACTCAAGGCATGCTATTTTTCTAGAGGAGCATTTAGTACAGATTATCCAAAATACTTAGAACAAGTCATGTTTAGTACTTGTAAAATATTTCTACTTTTAAATTTTGGAATGTTTGTATATGCAAAATGAGATATTTTGGGGATAGGACCAAAGTCTAAATATAAACTTCATTTGAGTATACCCTGATCTAGAGATAATTTCATGTATCTCAGACAAGCTAGTTTCTGAAGCAGCCCTGCATGGTGTGAAACTCTTCACTTGTGACGTCACAGAGCTGCTTGCATTAGTTGTTTTTCGCTTCGCTCTGACCAAGTGTCTGACAAGGGACCACACAGTGGCAGAACAGTTTTGTTTGATTTAGAATTTGAGGGATGCACCCATCCTCGTGTGGAAGACCCGGTTGCTGGATGGTAAGGTAGCGAGTTACATAATCATGAAGCGGGAGTAAAGGCTGCTAGTGCTAAGCCAGCTCCTTTTCTTCTCTGTTCTGTCTCAGACCCCAGCCTATGGAATGGTGCATGCACACTGAAAGTTGAGTTTCAGCCAGGTGTGGGGGCATGTGGCAGGCAGGGGCAGGAGGATCTCTGTGAGTTCGAGGACAGCCAGGGCTGTTAAACAGGGAAACCCAGTCTTGAAAAAACAAAACAAAACAAAAAACAAAAAAACAACAGCAACAAAAAAAACAAAACAAAACAAAAAAAAAAAAACCAAACAACTGAAAGGAAAGTTAGGTTTCTGTCTTATTTTAACTGGAAACACTTGTAGATATACCCAGAGGCCCCTGACTGGATTCTAAATGCAGTGAGACTGACGCTGGGGACTAGTGATCACAATGCTCAGAGTGTTTCTGCTCTCGGAGCACTTGAGATTTTGAATTTTCAAATTAGGCATGTGCAGTGGATTTTGTTGATTGAGAATGTGAAAATCGGCTGGAGAGATGGTAAGAGCACCTCCTGCTCTTCCAAAAGACCTGGGTTCAATTCCCAGCACTCAAATGGCAGCTCACAACTGTCTGTAACTCCAGTTCCAGGGGACCTGGCACCTTCACAGACATACATGCAGGTAAAACACCAAGGCACATAAAATAAAAATAAATATTTTAAAAAATATATGAAAATAAGGCTGTAGAGGTGGCTCAGTGGTTAAGAATTCTTATTGCCATTGCAGAAGACCTGAATTTGGTTCCTAGCACTCACACTGAGTGACTCACAGATTCTGGAAACTCCCGCTCTGGGGGAGGGCGGGGGGGGGATCTGGCACCCTTTAATAGGCACACACATGCACACATATCATCCCCACACATAAAGCGCATACATTTAAAAACAAATACAAAAAGAGAACACTTAAGTCTGGAGCGCACTTAAGTAAATGACATGAAGCAGTTACTCTCCCCAGAGCTGTGGGTACCAGTGGAGGTCGCGGTCACTAGAGCTTACCTAAATGCTATGAGTAGGTGGCTGCAGGCAGAGAACATTTCCTGCAGTGGTCAGTGGGGACTTTAGAAACTCATAAACTGGTCAAAGTCCTAAGACTCTGAGTACCCAGCTGCAAATGTGTCACCCCTTCCAAGGTTCATGGAGAAGGAGAGGGAAGATGTAAGTGCTGGAAGAAGCAGGAGAGAAGAGAGGTGGAAGGCTTGGGCGGGCCCTCTAGGCACCACGTGGTTGATGCACGCTCAGCTCACCACCTCTTTGACTACATGCCCAAGATTGCGTCTCTCAACACGTCATGGAGAGGGAAGGGGTTTGTGACATACCAACCCTGAGGATTTTTAGAGCTGATTGTTGATGTGGAAGGGAAAGAGATGTTTTCTTCAGTAGAGTAGCTCATGGTTCTGTGAAGAAACACCCCCCCCCCAAGAATGTTCACATGCTTCTGTAAACACCCCGCCAAGTCCGTAATACCTACAGCTCTCATTCTTTCACCCACATCACCTTGTGACAGATCTTAACAGGAAGATAACTAACTAGTGGTCTCCCCGAGTGAGAGTAGGATGGTTTAGTAGGTTTTAGGTCCAACATCTCAGAGGAGGATCTAGACGGAGCTGCAAGATAGTAACTGAAATAGCTCTTAAATAGCTGCTGCTTATTAGCTAACCTTATTGATTTTCTGTACAATAAATGAAGGTTTGTATAATCAAGTTTAATGTCAAAATCCTTACTTTCACATGTATTCCTAAACATATCATCTTGTATAGATTTCTGTATCAGTTATCATTCAATGTCATTTAAAGTTGCCAGTTGATGATTGATTTGAGGTTTTTGAGACAGATTTTTATTCTTTGTAGTCCAGGCTGGCACTGAGCTTGTTGCAATTCTCCTGCTTAGCCTTCCAAGTGCAAGGATTACAACCTTGACCACAACACCTGACCTACTGTTCAGTTATTAAATGTTTACCCTTTCCCTTGTATTTGTGTCCTTGCTAATGCATCCAGTGGTTGTGTGGTTGGGAATTTCTGCTGTTGTATCAGGAAATAACTACTACCATGTGCCTTGACTTTCCTGAACAATTTTTCTGAAAGTTGCCCCATTTTGAAACATTTTCAAATGCATTGGAATATCCTTGAGAATTATGATATTGTCCATATCAAAGGGATATTTCACATTGTTCTTATTGCCAAGATACCTAAAGTATACCTTCGAAAATCAGTTTTTTCTTAATCAACAGGTGCTTCTAAAGAAGGAGGGGCTGGAGCAGTTGATGAGGATGACTTTATAAAAGCTTTTACAGATGTTCCTTCTGTTCAGGTAAGACTTTCATTGTCCCCACGAGACTTCTGTGTCTCTTTATGAATTTTATTTGTGGGTACGGCTAGATGGCTCAGGGGTCATGCACTTGGCAGTGCAAGCCTGATAACTTGAGTTTGACTCTGAATCCCACATAAAGGTAGTGCGGGGGGGAACCAACTCCACAGTTGCCTTCTGTCCTCCTTACATGCCCACATAGACACACCGTACACATTAAGACGAGGACATTTGAAATGTTTAAAAAAGCTTTCCTGTAAAGGAATGTATGGAGAGTGTATTAGACATTATCAAGCCATTAATTATCGTCATAATTAGATTTTCAAATTAGCTAAAGCTTAAGTAAAATGAAATCCTTGACTTAGTCATATTATATTGCGATGTCAAACACATAAAATTCATAGTTTTGAAATAATTAGTTTTGACCCCAGAGAGTGTTGGAGGCTGACAGAGATCTGAAAGTCCTTCCCCAGGGCATAACTAAAGGAGTCAAGATGGACATATCCATAAGTAAGGCAGTCATTGTATACCTAAAAAGCAAGTAAACATTACAATGTATATATAACATTACTGCAAATTTTATGACCTTGTACCCCAGTGTTGTTTGATGTATTTTTTCACAACTCAAAGTTGGTTATTCTGTTCCTTCTGATATTTATTGCATGAGTAATTTGTGTGTCCTTCCTGTTGATGACATTCAGTTTATTTCCATTTTTTTAATATTATTTGTGATATGTTTTTGTTTATTTGCTCATTTTTTAAAATAAGGTCTCATGTAGTCCAGTCTCGTCTTTAATTCCCTATTCTTCGGCCTCCAACTCCCAAGCATACTGGGATTGCAGGTACACTATACCCAGCTCTTACAGGAGCTTCTTTAGGATGTAATTTGTATGGAATTTTATAACTACAGTTCTTTTGTTTCACTAAATTTTCTGTAAAGGATTATTATACCATTCCCAAGAAAGGTATGATTGGGTAACTCACTTTCAAAAGTCCTGCACTGTAGAAATGCTTCTCCCCTTTAAAAAAAAAAAAAAAATGGTTTACATCCCCTTCTACTGTTCTTACCAAGAGATAGAGAAGAAAAAGAGAATCAGAGAGAGAGAAAAAAATGAACATGCTAATTTCTTCACATTCTGCCTGCACTTCCTGTCACTCAGAGTGCTTCTTCAAACTACGGCTGGCTTGAAAAGGCCCAGCTGCTTTATTTGCACACTGTGTAAGCTATTGAGCTCTCTCAAAGAAAGAGCTGTCCTGAAGCTATTGAAGGTCTTAGAAAGATATGGGAAAGCTTGAAAAGTCTTTCTGGTTTGAGAGTATTTGAAGGCTATTTTTATTTTAAGATGTTCCCCCTCCGTTTGCGTTTTGTAGGCCTTCCGAATAAAGGAATGGTTAGTGTTGTAGGAACAGTTGCGAAGCTTGACTGGTCTTGATCAGTTTCCATTGTTCAGTGTCTTCTGCCAGAGTGGGATCATTACAGTATCACTGAAGCCATGGGCCTTAGGAAGCCATTAGCACAGCCTCAGGAAGAACAGGCTTCCCAGCTACCTATTGCATCACCACCACTGTCCCTAGAGTCTGTCGCTTCCATGCCCATGCTATTATTAAAGTAGAATTTTCCTTTCATTAAAGCTCTAGCATAATTGGTGGTGAGTAATTGGTGATGTTTGCCGTCCTCATCTTCTCTACCACCACCACCATGAGGTCCTTGCAGTCTGGCCATTCCCTTACTTTTGTCAAGTCTGGACAACAGTTCACTATTACCTATGGGTCAGCTGCACTGGCTGTGTGATCACTTTAAATCAATAGTGTATAGTCAGGGAGATTGTGACGATTAAATGTGGCAATGCCATAAGTGCATGGTAGGCACATGCTAGCTATTACTACCACACTAAATAATGATACCCTCCCTCCCTCCCTTCTTTCTTCCTTTCTATTTAATATACTCTTAATTAAAGTACAATAAATTTCCCCTGCATCTCCCTCTCAAATTAATGGTCCCTTTGTTGTTATTATTGTTACATATATAGAGATGTACAAATATATAAATACAACCGCACTGATGATATGTGTATGGTTTCAGGCCCACCATTTTGTATTGGACACCCAGTGGTGGGGGCCTTGGCCCTGGGGGAGGCTAACCCTCTCTCTCAGAGGTCATTGGTTGCTTGTAGTTCATTGTCTAGGAGTAAGATTTCCCTGCTACTGGGTTAACATGTCTGTTGGCACTGTCATTGTTTGAGCAGCTGTTTTCCCATCAGCCTTCCTGATCCTCTGGCTCTTACCCTCTTTCCACCCCTCTTCTGAAGAGAAATTGCATTGAAGATATATCCACTGGAGCTGGGCTCCCCCAGGGTCGATCATTGATCTCTGCATTGTGTCCGGTTATGGTCTCTCTCTTTCAAGATTAATTTTATTTATGTGTGTGAGTGTATCACCTTTTATGTGTGTCCAGCACATGCATGCCTGGTGCCTGCACAAGTCAGAAGAGGACATTGCATCCCCTGGGATTGCAGTTACAGATGATTTTGAGACACAGTGTGGGTGCTAGGTATTGAACCCAGGGCCTCTGCAAGAGCAACAAGTGCTCTTAACTAATGAGCCAACTCTGCTCTAGTTGTGTTTTCTATAATGATCTGCATTTGATATAAAGAGAAGCTTTGATGAGGAGTGAGAACTACACCTATCTGGATATAAGGATGGGCACTGGAATGTAATTAACGACTAGCAAGCATGTTTTCCTTCCTATTGAGTGGGCCTTAAGTCCAATTAGACAACCATTGATGACCACACAGGCTTGAGTTACTACTGTTGCACTATTGGGTGTTTGCCAGGCTAGTCAAATACCCTGATTCACAGGCACCACAACTGTATAGTGTCATTGATTCCCTTCTTTGGCAGCATGCACAGTACTTCCCAGCACTGTGGAAGGTAGACCAGAGGAAGGAGGCTTTCAGATCAGATCGTTTGAATTATCCAAATCCTGTGTCCTAAGCGTTCTGGGTTTGCAGCAGCAGCATCTTCCTTCAACCTTTGAGAGGCAGCCAAGGGCAGCAGCAGTAGCCTGTGTTTCTTTGAGAGTCAGTTGAACTACTCTGACCAACAACTTGAACAGAGGTTTCTCACGCCTAGTACTGGGGTTTTATTAGGTAATCTGTGGCTCTTGTCAGCCCAAAGCCCAGGTGATGTAACTTCACCTCAGTGAAAAGAGAGAGAGAGAGAGAGAGAGAGAGAGAGAGAGAGAGAGAGAGAGAGTGTACACGTGTACGATTCCTTCAGGTTTTGTCAAAATAACCTTACTGTTGTCACCCAGCGTCTGTGTTGACCTCCCTCCCCTGCCCAGTTAGAGCCCTCCTCCCCATTTTCCCATTTCCTCTTTCTTTTCATACTTATGGCCTCCTTTTCTTTTGGATGAAACATCAGTCTTTGACCACCTCTCCACCCTTCAGATCCACGTGAGTTACATCCCTCACACTCTGAGTGTTGTTGTTTCCTGATCAGATTGCTTTCTTGCAGTCATTGACTAAAATGCCCCCTTCTGGGTTTTTCTATTTGAGAAGAAGTGGACTATGAAGAAGACTTAGTGGCTTGCTTCCCACCAAGGCTGCCAACCTGAAGTTTATCCCTGGATCCACATGGAGAAAGGAGAGAACCAGTTGCACAAATGAGAAACTGAGTAAAAGGTGTAGTTTAGTGGCAGGGTATGTGCCTAGCATTCATGAGGCCCTGGTTTTGATCCCCAGTTAGGGAAGAAAATAATGGACTGCATATCTCAAAACTCTACACTTACTTAGGTCCCTTCCAGTGTAGCTGTATGCACCTGATATTTCTTTTACTTTAAAAAAAAAAATGCTATTTAAAATCTTTTTTCATATTCTTTCCCCTCCCCCGATACTTTCCAACTTCTTGTTCTTTCTCTCATTTAAGAAAAATATATATATATCAACCAAAAAAAAACACAAAAAATAAAATAAAATAAAATGCACACCCCAAAGGCATGGAGTTCATTTTCAACTATTCCTTCTAAGCACAAATGCTGCCCTGGAATGAGGTAATGTACCCAGTGTCAGTCTTGTAAAGAAGAAAGATGCATTTGGGGGCTGGAGAGATGGCTCCACAGTTAAGAGCATTTACTTCTCTTACAGAGAACCCTGGTTAGATTCTCAGCACTTACATGACAGCTCTCAACCATCCTTAACTCCAGATCCAGGGAATCTAACAACTTCTTCTGATCTTCACAGGCACCAAGCACACATATGGTACATGCACATGCGTGCAGACAAAACATTCAAACACATAAAATAAAATTTAAAAACGTACAGTGTGTGTGTGTGTAGAAAACTTGATCTTTCCCTCTCTCAGCAGCTATCAGCTTATCAATTGCAAATAGCTTCTTGGTTAGGGTATCTGTTTGCATCTCTCTTTCTACATACCCCTGACACACACACACACACACACACACACACACACACACACACACACACACACACACACACACACACACTTTCTTTATGTAGTCCTTGCTGTCCTGGAACTCATTCTGTCGACCATGCTGGCCCAGAACTCACAGAGAGCCACCTGCTTCTGCCTCCCTACCACCTGGCTTCATACTGGGATTACTGGGATTTTTATACTTGGTATTTCCCTCTCCACCTGCATTTGCTTCCTTACATTTTCTAGCTCCTGATCACTTAACATCTTTGTAGCACCCAAACCAGCTGGTTTAAATTGTCTTCTAGGGTCACAGTTTTGCTGTAAAAGTTGTGAAACAGTGTTTTCCCATTTACCTTCCTTCCTGTCTGTTTGCTTCACATCCATTTCCTTTACAGATGGATCCTTGATTTGGCCAACTATGATATAGTTATCAAGGGTTGCTTCTGGGCCTCCTCTTCCTACTTCATCGTGTCGCTCCATGACTTCCTTCAAAATCATGGAGTTACCTAGCACCTCTATATTGATTATACCTGATCTTACCTTTAAGCCAGACATCTGCTGAGCATCAAAAGCACTCCTTTACCATTATTGTTTTACTTGGCATTTCCTTTTAGGGTGTCTCAGAGACACTTCCAATGCGATCTGTTTAAAGTCAGAGTCATAATATCTCCTCTAACACTTGGTCTTCCAGTGTTCTTTATGTGGAAACTGTTATTCAGTCAGCTGGAGAAATCAGAAACCAAGGAGTCATTGCACAACAGACTCTTAACTCTGTTCTTTGTATACCTAGGAGAATCATGGAGAGTCCATTGAAAAGTGGCTTTAAAAAAAATTACGGAATTCCTGGAGTGAATTTCTGAGTTGACTTTTTTCCCTTCTTTCATGATTTAAAGAAGGTCTTTGCATTGTCTTCCAGGATAACACCTTGAACAAAAATTAAATGTGGCATGTATAATGTTTATTATATATTATGAATATAATATACACATTAAAATGTAATATATATTATTTATAAATATAATGTTTTAAATAGGTAACAAGTGTATTTATTATAAAATGTTGCCAAAAGGGCCTATTTAATTGAGGATTGTTTTCCCCTTTGTAGTGGGTGACACATACGTTATGTGCTTAATCTATTCTGGCACTTGTTGTTTTTAAAATAGTTATTCATAACTAAATTAAAGTATATCTTTTGAACAGTATTTTGTAATGATATATTAGTGCACTTTTGTTTGGACTTGTCTCCACTGGAAGCATTGTAGAAATGTGTTCCAGGCTGTTTCCATGGGGACAAGTAGCAAAGAGGGTGCTGAGGAAGAGCCTTGGAGCATCTGTTGTGTGTAGCTTTCTCCGCCGAAAGTGATGGCAAGAGTGTGAAGTGATCTACTGTGTAAAAGACTGTTTCTCATACCGGTGCTTAGATGTCTTTATAATTTTAAATCTTAAAATTTGTTATTTAAATTTTAATTCTTTTTTTTTAAAGATCTATTCTAGTCGAGAACTTGAAGAAACGTTAAATAAGATCAGGGAAATTTTGTCCGATGACAAACATGACTGGGACCAGCGTGCCAATGCAGTAAGTTTTCATTCTTTGTTTTCTTACCCTTTTCTTCTTAGCAGCGTTTCTCTTCGGAACTCAAAGGGAACATGCTTTCAGCTGTGGCTATAGTGGTAGATAGGAAATTAGATTCCGCTGGGTGCCATTTCTCTGTGAAAACCATGAAAGTCATGGGCATTGTCAGCTCCTGTTTTTGCTGATCACGTCAGTGCCTGTCCCCTTGTGTGGTTTGCTGACTGACAAGGAAATGTGAGATTGAGAGCTCTGGTCCGGCCTCCTCGGGGTGCCCTGCTGCTTGTCAGCACCATTGTCAGTGACCCTAAAGTCACAAAGACATGCTGGAGAAGAGAAGACCTTCGCTGCCTTTGGGCTCAGGACTTTTTCAGCATCGGCATAATTCCACAGCAGTGTGTCCGTTCATCTGACTCTCTGCTTTCTAGTGAATATAATGAATGTGAATGAATGATTTACAAAAATTTTGATCATCCTTGAGTTAGGAACCGTTTATTTACAGTAGACTCATTGAATCTTAAAATAGTATTTGTGTTAATGATCATTCTGTATCGTATTTCACATTTTGTGATGTCAAGTTTGGTGAGATTACAGTGAGCACCTCAGCATCCGCAAGAAGCCAGGAAAGATGCCTGTGCTCTCAACGCTTCCAGTCTGGCTTCCAGGAGGCTCCAGGAAGCCTCCTGACAAACGGTGCTTTATGACATATGCATTTCATATTGTTCTCCATCTCTGTGTTAAGAAGTCTGTAAGAGGGTGGGGTACTAGAGAGAAGGCTCAGAGGTTAAGAGCACTAACTGCTGCTCTTCCAGAGGACCCGGCTTCAATTCCCAGCACAACATGGCAGCTCACAATTGTCTGTAACTCTTAAGATCTGACACCCTTACAGAGACATACATGCAGGCAAAACACCAGTGTACATAAAAGTAAATAAATTATATAAGTGTATCTTTGAATGTTTGCTCTGGATTTGTTTCAGTATGATTTTATTCATTTTTCAGTTCTAAATCAAGCACAAATTAGAATTAAAAAATACAACAATATCTTTGGCATGGGTGAATTATGGAGGAATATCACAGATTAAAATAGAAGACATAAACTTAAACCTGAATGTTTTGATTTCCTTTAGCATAGTCATTCAGAAATCATTAGTCTGACATGTTTTTTATGAATTTGACATTTTCTCTGTTCATTCAAGCATGTGTAAAAAACACAACCACTTTCATTAAAACTAAACAATGCTTAATCCTTTGTTTAATTAAGAAATCATGCTTATTCTATATAGCTGGTATAGATGTCATATTTGCTTAGATATTTATTGAGTACAGATCAGTGTGTACATACATTCTTCAATATATATGTGTGTGTAATTACTAAAATCATCCTCATTTGATGATTTTACAAATTTTTGCATTTGTTTTGGTTTTTGTTTCATTGTTTTTGTCTTTTGAGATACGGTTTCTTCTTCTTGTGTATCCTTGGCTGTCCTAGAACTTGCTCTATAGACCAGGCTGGCCTCAAACTCAGAGATCCACCTGCCTCTGCCTCTCAGTACTGAGATTAAAGTCATCCACAATACCACCGACCAATATCTGTTTTTGTTTTTGTAGATAGGGTATCTCTGGTGTCCTGCAGTTTACTGTGTAGAGTAAGCTGGCCTCATAATCAAGTTTGGCCCGCATCTGCCTTGAGTGCTGGGATTTACTGGTGTAAAACCTCAGCTTTACTGGTGTAATAAATGTCCTTGTGCTCTCTTTTTTCCCTTGGTGTGTTATTATGTTAATACGTTCTCCCTAATGAACTGAGTCCCCAGCCTTTGCATAGACTTGTAACTGTTCTGTTTCTCTAGGCTTGCACTTACATGTGAGTTCTTGTAAAGAGTGCATGCAAGTTCATTTCAGTTGCTGAATAAATGCTTTAGTTCTTCATAATTTTACTTCCCTGTTTGTTTGTTTATTTGTTTGTTTGTGAACAGTCCTCTCTGGTACTGTAAAGTTTTGCCCCTCTGATGAAAAAATGATAGCTTTCTTGCTACTTTGATGTAGCCTGTCAGTAATGCAGATGAATACAGTTTTGCATATTTATTTTACTCAATTTAATATTAGCTTTTTTTTCTTGTTTTCTTTTCATTTATTATGTATTGATTGTGTCTTGTTTGCTGAGCATGTGTTTAAGCTTAAGCACACACACAATACAGCACAGCAGGAGAGAGACAAGAAAAGAAAGGGATTTGAGGCTATTAATAGGTAATAATAGTGGTTGTCTAACATTGTGAATGCACTTAAATACCACAAATTGGACATTTTAAAATGGTAAGTTTTGTGGTAGTTACATTTTACTGTACTTTTGAAAAGAATGATTTAGATTTTTGAATTTACCTTTTTATGTACGTATCAGTCTGTTCCACATGTAACTAAACTTGTAATGCTGTTTTTTTGTTTTTGTTTTTTTTTTTTTTTTTTTTAAAGAAAGCTTTTAGTTGTTTTATATGTTTATTTATGAGGTGCATTCTGTGCTACTAAAATGTCTGAATTTAGTTATGTAAATGTAATGAAACCCATATAGTTCATTGTAAAGAAAAACTTAATTGTTTGATGATGTAGTTTGGGTAGCTTTTTTTGTAGGCTGTCACCTTTTATGTCAATAATGAAATTTCTTTTTCTTTTAGCTTAAGAAAATCAGATCACTGCTTGTGGCTGGGGCTGCACAGTATGATTGCTTTTTCCAGCATTTACGTTTGTTGGATGGAGCACTTAAGCTGTCTGCTAAGGATCTCAGATCCCAGGTGGTCAGAGAAGCTTGCATCACTGTTGCGTAAGTGTCTCCTCTCATGCTGCGGAGGGCTTTTGTTTGTTTCTGCATAGGGTCTTACTATATAGTCTTGGTTCCCTGGCTGTCTGGCATTGTCTGGTTGTTTTACTCTTTGAGGGCCTGGCACCCATCTCCCAAATAAATCACACAGGGGCTTACTATTACATATAAATGCCCGGCCTTATCTTGGCTTGTTTCTTTCCAGCTTTTCTTAAATTATCCTGTCTACCTTTTGTCTCTGGGCTTTTTACCTTTCTTTGTTTCTATATCCTTATTCCATGTGTAGCTGGGTGGCTGGCCCCTTCTTTTCTCCTTTAATCCATGACTGTAAAGGTAAAGGTTCTTAAGAATGTACTTATCCATAAAATAGGGGTAAACATTGACTGACACAGAACAGTTAGACACTGCTGCATTTGTCAAGTTGTTCTGTCCAGGGGTGAAGAGACAGTTGCCTGCTCCACTCTGACTACACAAGAGAATGAACTAACAAGAGCCAGCAATCTTCTCCCTAAGCTTCTAACTTGTCACATTGGCAGGCAGAGACCACGCCCTGGAGCTTGCTGCCCCAGAAACCATTGATTAAACAGATCAACATCCCACAACAGCTCCTTGATTATCTTTTCCCAGATTTCTATTTATTCCGTTTGCCTGCTAGCCTAATCTCTGTCCTCTCTTCTGCCTAGCTATTGGCCATTCAGCTCTTTATTAGGCCATCAGGTGTTTTAGTCAAGCAAAGCAACACAGTTTCACAGAGTTAAACAAATGCGACATAAAGAATGCAACACATCTTTGTATCATTAAACAAATGTTCCACAGCATAAACAAATATAATACATCTGAATATCGTATTCTACAACAGTCTGAGAATGTAGTACTCATTGAATCAATGTTCAATAAGTAAAGCAGTAACAGGGTCACCCCAAAGAAGCTAATATGTGACCCCAGAATCATACTGGTTCAGTTATTATGATTTTTCTCTGTTTCTTTTTTGTTGTTGCTGTTGTTATTTTTTAAAGTCTTTCTTCTTCTAAGATTGACACAATGATGAAATACTGAGCAAACACGTGTGAGGCTGTGGTTTAGTGCCGAACACTAGGTAAAAGGCATCTTCCATAATCTTTACAGCAGCCTTAAAATGTTTTAACTCCATGTGTATAGGGGGGAACGTTGGGCACCATTTGTAAGGTGTACGGTTTTTCCTCCTGCTGCCGAGTCTGGTCCCGCCACCGCGGCAGCCCCAATTAACACACAGGGACTCTGTATTTGATATTATGGTGTTGGCCAGGTGCTGGTTTCTTATTGGCTATCTCTGCCTTAAATAACCCATTTCTGCTGATCTATGTATTTCTCTTACCGGGGAGCCGGCCGGCATATTGCTTTCTCCCGACTCTCCATCTTGGCTCTCCATCTTGACCCCTCCTTTCTACTTCCTATTTCCTCCTTATCTCCTAGCCCCTCCTATCTTCCTTTCCTATTGGCCAACAGTTCTTTATTCATTAACCAGCATGAGAAACATTTACAGAATGACATCTGCCATCATCTGGAACTGGCAATACTTATTTTTCCCATTCCTGATTTGGGTATTTAGTACCATATTTCTGCTATCTTAGCAAATTAGAATCATAACTCCGTAATTTATCAAATTCTGTATGTATATAGTCTTCCCCTGAAATCTGGTTTGCCACTGCAGTCACCTGAGTACTGCTGTTGTATATGTGGTTATTAAGTATTGTTTCAAGACAGGGAGCACAAAGGTACCTCCAGTACATCTTCTAGAAGAAAGGGGGCTGTTAAAATTACGACAAATGGAAGAAAAGGGGAATGTGCCAGGTGGCATAATTACCCTATGTAGCAAACAAACTCTGTGGATGACTTGTAATCAAAGGAAGTTAGCAAGGTTGCCAGGTGATGCCAAAATACCAAAATTATGATATATCTCTGGAAAAACAAATTCATAAATGTAACCTTGAAAAATATACTGAAGAGCTAGTAAGATGGTTCAGTGGGTCAGAACATTTACTGGCAACCGGAATTCAGTCACCGGGACCCCAGTGGTAGGAGAGAGCTGATCCCTGAGTGCTGTCCTCTTAACCCTGACATGTATGCCATGGCACACATATGTACACAAAATAAACATGATTTTTTTTTTAAAGAAAAAGAAACGAAACATACTTAATCTTGGGCAAGATAAACTACAGAGTAAGTACATAAGTTTTGCATGGAATGTACAGTGGAGGCAAAACTGAGTGACTGGAAAGAGAAACGAACAGAGCAGTGTAGTCATCGCTGCGCTGACTACATCACAGTGCCTTAGAGACCCACAGAGAGCAGGCAATCTCATTCAACTAGGAAACAGAGATTTTAGTTTCAGAAGGCGGTGGTAGCCAAGATTAGTGTGCAGAACAGTGGAAAAAAGAGGCACAGAGCCAGAGAGCTGTAGAAATAGATGTGATCCTGAATCCTGAGCCTGGCTGGATACCCAGCTGCGCATGTGGAAGCCGCAACACAGAAGAGTAGGGAAAATCCCTGCTTCCCAACACTGAGGCATACCGCAACTCCCAGGGTCAAATCTGACTTTCCAGCACATTCAGCAGATACCCCAGAAAAGCCCTTTTACAGATTGGTTCTCAGCCAGATGCTGTAGGTCTCACCTCTCCCAGCATGTTTATCAAACAGTCAAGTTGATTCCCAGTTATATTACCTGCCTGCTGGAACGTACACTCTTTAAAGGAAGATATCAGACTCGAAGGCCCTCTGCACCTAGGCATCAAGAGATTGGAAAACTGACTTTGTAAATAAGTCTAAGTCTGGAGTACGTCTTTGAATCAAGAACCTTAGTTTTTTGGCACAAACATGTATCCCAAGCATGTATTTTCAATAAGACAGTATTCTCCTAAGAATGGTGATACATGTTTGTAATCCTAGCATTTGGGAGGTAGAGCTAGGAGGGTCCAGAGTTTAAAAAAAAGAGAGAGAGAAAAAAAACAAAAAGGCTATGAATGAGTTCAAGGCCTACATGGGCAACATAAGACCTTTTCTCCAAAAAATAAAACATTAATCAAAAAAAGGTTCTGTGTATGTTGAAATTGACTGACATCACAAGCATTGTCAAAGCTGTCAGTGATGACCACTTCCTTCCTGAGTGCCTTATCTCAAGCTGATTAGGGCTAGGGAGAGAGCTCAGTGGGTTAGCTTCCCCTTGTGCAGCATTAGGAGTTAGTGTGCGCACTTCCAATCTCAGCACTGGCGAGGTGGAGACAAGAAGATCTCAAGACTTGTTAGTCAGGCAATCCAGCTTAGTGGTGACGCTAGGCCAATGAGATAGAATAGACCGTATTCCTGAGGATGACTACTGAGCTCGTCCTCCATCCTCTTCACTCGTGTGTACATTTGTAAACAGAGAGAGAGAGAATAAGAATTACAAATGTGGAAAGAAATTAATAGATGTGTTTAAGATCACTGAATTTAGGAGATATTAGAGTTTCAGCAGTAGATTATTAAATCCTACCCCAGAGAGATGAGAATTTGTGATTTTTCTCCCCCCACAAGAAGTAATTCCATCACTAATCAAAATAGGCAATATTTTTCAAGGTTTAGAACTTTGAGTAAAATGTTCTGGACTTTAGGTTGTTGGGATCAAAATAGAAATATCTGAAGGGGACCCACAATCGGCAATGATTTTACTTAATATTTACTTCGCTTTCATAGCTTGATTCTATGATCACATCGCTTCTCTAAATGTCACAGAGATAAATAAAATACCAGATTTTGTCTTTGGACTGCCAGTTACTGGGAGGAAGAAGGAGCAAAGGGGTAGTCCCTGGAGGATGGGGATGCCGCTCTGCTCAGTTGGCAGAAGCAGGGATGACACCCCGCATCAGCTCATAACCCAGGCATGGGAAGCACAGGAGCTTGTAGTGCGACAGGGTCAGCAGTGATAGCCATTTTTGGCTACGTGCCAGATTTGAGGCTAACTTTAGGGAATGAAACTCCTTCTCGAAATAAATAAATGAATATTTTTTTCTGTATTTAATGTTAATATAATTTTTCTGTTCCTTTGTAGACACCTTTCAACGGTTTTGGGAAACAAGTTTGATCACGGCGCCGAAGCCATTGTACCTACACTTTTTAATCTTGTCCCCAATAGTGCAAAAGTAATGGCAACTTCTGGATGTGCAGCAATCAGATTTATTATTCGGGTAGGTTTCTCACAAGTCCCCTCCCCACCCATGTACTTAATTAAGTCGTATTATTCCTTTTACTTCTAAAGGAAACATTACTTTTTAATTATTTTTCTAATAATAAAAGCAGTAAATATTGTAAAAGACTGCAAAATATACCATTTGAATATGGAACATAATTCATATCTGTAGTTATATGTGTATACTCATGTATGTAATCACAAATGTCACAGGTAGTGAAGAAACCAGCAAATATATTCTTAAAATGGATTACTACATACAGAGATTTTGATAAAATTAATGATACTATAATTTCATAAAATAACAGAAATGGAGTGTTTAATATCTAAATCAGGAATGAGAAAAGTACCAGACCAGTGGTGACACATGTCCATGCTTACATTCTGTATCTATAAAGAGTACTTTCGTGCTTCCTTCACTAAAGAAAGGCACTAAGAATTAGACGTTGGAGGGCTTTGTGATTAAGCCAGAAAGTTCTGTTAAAATCATTGTTTCACAGTGCATTGTATCATAGTAGTTAGGATTGTGATCTCACTGACAGGTAGTTATTGTACACACACGCACGCACGCATGCACACACGTACGTACTGACCTCACAGGTCTTTCTGGGCATGCAAACATATTGGTGATTTCACAGCAATCTCTTGAAAATTACCATCATTATTAACTCTTAATTCGGACAATTTGGGTTTCTGTTGATCTGATTTGCAGCTGTTTTGTTTTGTTTTTCTGGCTTTTCCATAGCTAAGCTCTTGAGTATAAGACACACAGAGGCACTACATGACCAGCTCAGTGTTTTCATGCTTTCCTAAAATATCTTTTTCAGCATACCCATGTACCCAGACTCATACCCTTAATAACAAGCAACTGCACATCCAAATCAGTTCCTGTGAGGAGGTAAGTTGTGGGGAAAAGGTTTTTAGTATAAATTTACCATTAAGTAATTCAATTTAGTTTATAACTTCTTAAAATTACTTTTTCGACTAAAATGATGATATAAGTTTTCAAATCTGTTTACTATTACTGTGCGCGCGCGCGCACACACACACACACACACACACACACACACACACACACACACACACACACACACACCTACCTACCTCTTGTGGAAGTCGGGAAGACAGTTTTCATGCATCAGTTCTGTTTTATAATCGTGTGGATCCTGGGACTCAAAGTCAGATCATGAGGCTGGCAGTGAGCACCCTTACTTACCCTACCATTTCCATAGCCCATAACACATGATTTTTAACCACATCCATTTAAGGGTTAGGATGATAAAGCAACTGTTGTGAGTACTCATATTTCTCAGGTTTATCACTTAAGCTCTGGTTTACTTAGCTCACTGATTGCCTTGTTTTTCAGAGTATAGAGTTAGGAATAGCTAGAATTCTGTATCTGCTCTATTGTATATCTCAGTGCATATGTAAATTATGGGACACTAATGAGTTCACCCCACAGACTGCAGATGAAACATTTAAGAGTCCCTAATTTTGTGTGTAGAAGATAGTAAGTAGATAAACTAAGTCTGATAGTCCCTCTCTCTGTATGATTTCTGGAAAAAAAGAACATCCATTTGTTTTGAGAGAAGGTTTTGCAGTATTGCCAGGCTGGCCTTGAACTCATGTTTGTTCTGCCTTTATTTCTCAGTTACTGAGATTTCAGGTTTGCACCAGCATACCTAGCTTGATTACTTTAAAATTTATTGCTGCCAGCAGTTCAGACCTAAAGGCTAATGATGTAGTTCAGTGGGAGAGCACTTGCCTATCACTCAAGAACCCGCTACAGAAAATAAAATGGCAGTATTTATACCTTTAGGCCCAGTATTTGTGCAGTGTTGAAGAGCAATCCAGTTTGCTCAGTACTTTGTCATTGGACAAAGGCCAAATAAGGTATTATATCCTTTATGTGATTTAAATTTTTTAGACTAATTATGTAGTTACCTCTTTGAAATCTCAGCAGTCAGAAAATAACAACCCATAGGTAAATCTGGCTAACAGCCCTTTTTTTCCAAGACAGAATGTCTGAAATTGAGAATTAGAGGGCTTAGGAGCAAACACATGAATTTTTTAAAATCCTATGTGCACATAGTAAAGTAGAAGTTCAAAACTGCCATGTACGTGTTGGCCATCACTGTCTGTTTCATTATGTGTGTGGTGTGCATTGGGCCTGCATAGCACATGTGAGAGTCAGAGGACTACTTTGTAGGGTCACATGTGCCTGCGGAGCCTTCTCTGTGGGCTCCATCATAAACGTTTCCTATCTAGTGAGTATCTGAAATTAAATCACAGGACACAAAGTTCCTTTAAGCTACCCAGCATAGTAATAGTTAGGTCCTTTAAATTAGTTTTTTTCTAATTTAGGTAATCTGAAAATATGTTCTGTGTGTTTAATTCAGAGGCAAAATGAAGTGTTTTGAAAGAAAGTATGAATGTGTTTCTCAGTATGTGTAATTATAATTTAATATTTACTTTTCAGGCGTTCATTTGAATTTTTAGATCTGTTGCTACAAGAGTGGCAGACTCATTCACTGGAAAGGTAGGCACCCCACCCATACACACATCCTCATTTCCTCCTCGTCTGGGGTAGATGTGTACCATGTAGGAATAACTATTGTTGTGATAAAATACTCTACTAAGTATTAACATAAAGATGCATTTGTTGTTTAGGCATGCAGCCGTCTTAGTTGAAACTATTAAGAAGGGAATTCATGATGCTGATGCTGAGGCCAGAGTGGAGGCAAGAAAGTAAGTCTGTACTGTATTTTTGTGAAAACTTAATTAAACATACTTTGAGCTATTTTCTTGTTGTTCTTAATGAATTACATTGAGAGATGATTATAATGTAATATATCTCAGTTACTCTGTGCAGTCATAATTGTTTTCATACCATCAGAGTTTTCCCTTTCGTTGTTAATAGGAAAACTGCACTTATTGAGTAGGTGTTATGTACCTAACACTGAGTAAGGCTCTTGATGTCCGTGTTCCACCACAACCCCCAATTTTTTGAGAGAGGCTCTTACTTTGTTGCTCTGGCTGACCAGAAACTCACTCTGTAGACCAGGCTGGCCTAGAACTCAAAGAGATCCACCTGCCTCTGCCTCCCAAGTGCTAGGACTAAAGGTGTGTGCCACCACAGCTGTCTCATTTTTAAGTTTTTAACACTGAGGGTAGTCCTGCAAAGGTGATATTGTCTCCATAGATGCATCTGAAGTCTGAGGTTGGAGGTTCACTCAGTGCTAAAGGAACCGTAAGTGGCACAAATAGAATGTGAACTTAAGTCTGCTTTTTCAAAAACCTGCAATTTTTCATCTGAAATTTAGTTCATGTACAGTTTTCACCTAACACACCGAATGCATTAAACGCGTGTGAGCTTGTGTTCCTACAGTCGTGATAAGCTAATACACTTTTCTTTCCTTTACAGGACATACATGGGTCTTAGAAACCACTTTCCTGGTGAAGCTGAAACGTTGTATAATTCTCTTGAGCCATCCTATCAGAAGAGTCTTCAGACTTACTTAAAGAGTTCTGGCAGCGTAGCATCTCTTCCACAGTCAGACAGGTCCTCATCTAGCTCACAAGAAAGTCTCAAGTAAGGTTATACTCTTCATAGTTGCATGTGTTCCTCTCTCCATCTTCTCTCCTTCAGTTGGATAGCTTGCATCTACTAAGACCCTGGAAAAATGATGACTTGATTTTTTTTTTTTTTTTTTTTTTTTTTTTTAATTTCTTTGGTCTCCTGTTAGTGTTGGACCGTGTACTAGTTTAACTATTCTTTGAGTTTTTGGGGGGTTCTTTTGGTTTTTGTTTTGTTTTGTTTTGTTTTTAATTCTTTGAGTTTTATTTTTTATTCTTTGAGTTTTATTTTAAGAATTTAATGATTCGCATTTTGTTTCTATATGTTCTTATTTGGGAACCCTTGACTATGCATTTCTTTATACTGTAAAATGATTGATGCAGTAAGTCGTGCATTTCCAGGACATGACATTGGAGGAATCAGGTGACACAGGATCTGGTGTGCCAGGCTGCATGTGTGCTAGTAATAACAACACTGTCCCTTTCTTCTCACTGAAGTGTTTTGGGATGCAAGTGATTGGTCATGCTAACATTGAGTTGTCTGTGTACTACAGGCCAGAGTGAACAAAGTAACCTGGTCTCTGTTTTTCCATTGCCAGTTACTTTTCTTTATAGCCAGTCTTGAAAACACCTGTTTTTTTTTTTTTTTTTTTTTAAGGATGCTTTCTCAGTTCTCTTGTCAGCCACTGTTTCGTTCTTTTTTAGAGTGATCAGTTAAGGCACGCTACTAAAAGCATTCATTTCTTTTTCCTTCCAGTCGTCCTTTTTCTTCTAAGTGGTCTACAGCGAATCCATCCACTGTGGCCGGAAGAGGTAATAGCTTCTCTGAGTAAGAGTTACAGCCTAGTTTGTCTCTAAGCTGGAGGCTTTAACTTGCTTTGATGTGTTCTACAATGAGAAAATGTTCCCATAGCCCGGAGTCACACGGGCATGAACACTCACAGCACAGTGTGTGTAAGCTGACACTTTGGGAAGCTGTACTTACTTAGACTTTTGTGATCTGTTTCCTCTACTGTTTCATTTCTTAAAAATGCTTGTTGGGACCCACTCAGTTCATTTCATAGCCGTTAACAGCCCATAGCTCATAGTATGTTAAAACTCCTTTCAAAAACTGAAACTAAATTTCACAGCTGAAACTAAATTAATGACTTTGCTCAGACTTCCCAAGAGTAGCAAAGCTCCATTGATTTTCAATAAATACTCCTATTTCTAGAGTAACTTTTCTTGCATTTTCTAGTAGTGACCAGTAATAATGATGTCATGTGTTTTAGTGTTTCATTTTCCCAAATCAGCCCTAAACCCCACCTCTTTAGATATCAAGACAGACCTGTGATATTTTGTTTGTTTGTTTGTTTTAATACTTTCACTTTATTTTATGTGCATTGGTGTAAGCATACCAGATCCCCTGGAACTGGAGTTACAGATAGTTGTGAGCTGCCATGTGGGTTCTGGGAATAGAACCCAGGTCCGCAGAAGAGCAGCCAGTACTCTTAACCACTGAGTCATCTCTCCAGCCCCGACCTGTGAATTATCCAAATTCACTATGTTCCCACAAGAGAAAAGTGAAGCACAGAACCATTCAAACTTGCTGAAGAAAACTGTTGTATCATAACAAACTGAGATATTCTGACTTTAAAGTGACATTACAGTGCTGTCCATTTGGCCCCTACTGCCTTGTGGATGGTGATAGTTTAGAGTTCTTGTGTCGTCATTTTGTTTGCAGCAACATAAATAACACAGGGTAACTTGTTTCCTGTAGTGCCAGTGGGAGGCAGCAAAGTCAGCTCCCTCCCAGGAAGCCTGCAGCGCTCTCGGAGTGACATTGATGTGAATGCTGCAGCTGGTGCCAAAGCACATCATGCCGCTGGACAGGCTGTCCGAAGTGGGCGGTTAGGGGCAGGCGCCCTGAACCCAGGTTCTTACGCATCGCTTGGTAAGACAGCCAATTGCATTCTTCCCCTGGTCTCCGTGGAGACCAAATGATATGTCATACCGATTTCTAGTCTGTTCTTGCTTGTCAGGGATGACCTATGTACCTGTCTGCCATCTTGTGTCTGCTTTTCCCCATTGTCTTCCTCCTCATCTTGATCAGACATATTGTTCTTGATTCTATGATTGCCTATAGAATTTTCATGACTGCACTAATGACACACCTACCCACTGGTTACCAAGGGAAGGCACTGACTTTGTAGTCAGCTTCTCTGGTTTTTTGTTTGTTTGTTTTGTTTTGGGTATTGGTTGTTGGTTTTTCAAGACAGGGTTTCTCTGTGTAGCTATGGAGTCTGTCCTGGAACTAGCTCTGTAGACCAGGCTGGCCTCGATCCGCCTGCCTCTGCCTTCTGAGTGCTGCTGTATGTTTTCATATCCATCAACTTGAAAATTTTAAGGCTGCTAACCCATGTTGTATCTCTGTTGCGTACCTGTGTTTTCTTACTCACGGTTGTAGTGATGGGACACTAAGCGGACAAGATGCTGGCATACAGGAGAGAGCATGGAGACTTGGGACATGAGTTTGTGTGTGCTAGAATGGCCCTGTTTCAGAATGATGGGGTAAGGGTAGATTAGTCAGTACATGGTGCTGAGACAAGCATTCCATAATTTTTGTAAGTATAAGTTATAACCTGTTACAATGTGTTCCTCCTGTGGTGCACCATGTTCCAGATGTCCAGATGTCTGAACAAAACTATAAGACAGTGTTGAAAGCTGAACAGGTAAGAATTCATCTAATTTTGCCAGGTGTTGCTGGGGCACACCTTTAGACCCAGCACTCAGGAGGCAGAAGCAGGTGGATCTCTGTGAGTTCGAGGCCAGCCTGGTCTACAGAGCTAGTTCCAGGACAGGCTCCAAAGCAATACAGAGAAACCCTGTCTCGAAAAACCAAAAAAAAAAAAAAAAAAAACTATGATGAAAAGTCTTAGATTTAAGCCTAATGTGAAACTATAAAATCAAGTAGCTGTGAAACAGTTTTTGTCACATTCCACCAGAGAGAGAGAGAGCGCTCCAATGGCAGTGTTTTCCACGTCGAATACAGATGTGCTTACATAGACCATAAAAATAATATACATACCCCAGCTGCCTGTAAACACCAGAACAAATGCTGGGTTTTAACCCTACTCAAACAAATGCAGATTAAAAGACCTGTAAAAATACCGGACAATTTCGTTAGATGCCCACTGATGAGAATATGGTGAACAGGGTCGCATCAGAAACAGTGTTGAAGTGAGTTCATGGTGGTTCACTATCACGGTCTTTGAAATGGCAATTTAGTGCGTGAAGCCTTTTTAAATATTAGGAGTTCAGATCCAGGGCCATCGAGTTGGTTCAATAAGTAAAGCCAATCCAGATGAGCTGAGTTTAACTATCAGGGCTCACGTGATTGAAGAAGAGACCTTACTACTGTAAGTTGTCCTCTGACCTCCATATGTTCCACAGCTCACGTGGACAGGGACATGCATGTGCACACAATATAATAACAATTTGTAAGACTTAAAATGTTTTGATGCAGTAATCTAATGTTTAAATAATTATACCAAAAAATAAAAACCAGCCTTCCACTCCAAAACTTGGGCTGTTGTTTCATCCCCCCATAATGATTGTCTTTGGAATGGAGACAGTCTCTTTCGAATTAAGGCATTCCCATTACTCTACCTGTGCATTGTTTACTAAATATGATCTTGTGCTATTTTTATCAATATCATTATGGCACACATGGTCTCCTTGCCTCTGAAGGTGCTGACTGCAGACATCTGGGTAGAGATGGTGTTCAGAAAGAGCAGCATTCCTATGATCCATGGAAAGTACTGGAAACTCTGGGCTCAGCTGTGTTTTAGTTGTATTGTCTCTAGTGGGGAATAGATCCCCTTGAGGTATAAAGTCTAAGTTGGCCTCTGTCTAAACAATGCTGTGAGAGGTTGTCACTGAGGGTCTGTCAGTCTAATGAAATAAAAAGTGGTCCCCCCCCCAAAAAAAAAAGGAGGTAAAAGAGGAAGGAAAAGGAGAAGAAGGAGGGAAATAAAAACAAATCAGAAGCCAGGTATTTGGTACATGCCTTTAGTCTCAGTACTGGGGAGGCGGATAGATCTCTGAGTTCCAGGACAGCCAGGGCTCCATAGGGAGACACTGTTTCCGTCAAATAAAAGGAAGTAATAACATGGTTGGGAAGATTTCTCTGAATGCGTAAAGCACTTGCTACACAAGCTTGAGAATCTGAGTTCAGATCTGAGCGCCTACCTAAAAGGTAGGCATGGCTGAACGCACCTTACCTCTGTCCCCATGAAACCCTTTGCACTTGTGATTGGTGGCCTTTGCATTCTGCTGCATTGAGCATTATTTATCATGCATGAACATACAGAATCCAGAAAGAGTGTATCATTCTTTTCCAGTTAACACTAACACTTCCTGCATTTAGTTTTTGACAGGGCTTCTGATAGGTACTGAGGATCTGGTAATTCTGTACTCAGATTTTTAGTCTGTTCATGTGTTGATGAGAAATAAGAGGCTAAAAGTTTGTTAACTTTCAAACGTTTTTAGTTGAAGTTGCTGTGTGGCCAAGTGTTTGGGAAACAGTTGGTAAAATGGATAGAGAAAGAAAGAATGGCATTACATTCCATACAGACTTTAGTGCCACTGGTTAATTTGCTTTTTTTTTTTTTTTTTTTGTCTAAAGCACTGAATTCTTTGGCAGAAAGGTGGCTTGAGTGTTTGGAAAACTGTTAACTTGTAGAGGAAGCTCTGTGTGTGTGTGTGTGTGTGTGTGTGTGTGTGTGTGTGTGTGTGTGTGTGTGTGTTTATATTGGAGGTATAGCTCATGATAAAATGCTTAACTAGTTTGCATGCACGTTTGTATACTTACTCTCATTAAGTGGACTACAGTAAAGTCTCGGTTGGCTGTGGAAGGAGTTGGCACTGGAATCTGTATTCTATTCCTGTGCTGAACAGACCAGGGAAGGTGAAAGAGCTCTGCAGCTCCTCTCGATTCCGGCACTTTCCTCCTCCTTTAAGGACGTTTGAAGTGGCATTCATTTGCACACTGACATGGTTGGTTAGGTAATAAGAATAAGTGTAAGGGTGGAAAGAGAGAGCTTGAGGGCGCCGTGGTGAGTGGGAAGTAGAGAGCAGGGCAGCCTTGCTGTGGAAGGAGCCAGAAGAGAACATGGAGGGAGTGGTGGTTTCAGACATGGTATTTGCAGCGGCAGGTGGGTATTAAGGAGAGTGTCATTGGAAGATTGTAATTTTCTGCCTGGGGATTCTTGGTCCAAGAAGTGGCTTAAGGTCTTGAACATTCACTGAGCGGGGCGCAAGAGGATGGGCATTTTTAAACTCGGCATACCTATCATACATTTGGGACTCACTGCTGAGGTTTATTAGCGTGAAAGTTTACACAGCGGAACCAATAGGGAGAACGCCTTGTTCAGTCGTCTGTTGTATGCTTTGTAGTTCTTACTCTAGGGCTGGGCCACGGAAGACTCATTTCTCGGGCATGAATGCTGCAACATGTCAACCGTGTTTCTCCCCAAGAAGCTCGTTTAAGAGTTGTAGTCCAGGGTGGGGTAGGGAGAGGGGCTGGTGATATTGGCTTTGCCTGCTCAGCAAGCCTCAATTATCAGAATTCCATACACCCAGAAGAAAGTAGCTGCTTACCACAAATCATACTGTTTGAAAATGGTTCAGGCAGAATGCTGTGCCTCTACTGTCACTTAATGTAGGGAGGCGTTCAGAGCTGAGTTAGCAGCAGAGGCCAGCATCACACAGGATTTGCTGAAGAGCAACAGCACCCAAGCGTGGTGGCATATACCTGTGACTGCAGAGAGCCTGGGACAAAAGGACCCTGACACCCAGGCCTCGAAAACAAGTGTATTGTTGGTCCTACTATGTTAGCTCTCTCTTATGCCAGGTGTTAAAGGCCAGGTCTTCAGTAGTACCGTCTGACCATGTGGCTGTGTGATTTTTCTCTACGAAGTCATGGGATAGAGACAGACAGTGTGATTATAGGGCCTGAATGTTCAAAGAAAAGATGGGATATGTGAGCAGCCAGATGGCAAACTGGGCCTGGACAGAGACTTGTTGTCTTCAGGGGGTGGGCAGGTTATAACATCTTTCTACTATACTAAGTTTTCCTCTGTTCTTTGCTTGCTCTTTCATCAAAGAGGATACTTCTGACAAGATGGATGGTAAGAGTTACTTTTATCACTCTTTCCCACATTTCTGTTGGGTCCTTGTTTACCCTTTTATACCTTTCTGAAAATGTGCTACTTATCAAGAATTTCAATTTGAAAATGACTCACTGGCTAAATTTTGAGTTACTTACATCCATTTTGGATCTCCTTGGTTTGTGGTTTTGTTGTTGTTGTTGTTGTTTTTCTTTTCTTTTCTTTTTTTTTTTTTTTTTTGGCATCTTAAATCGGTTACCTAAAATATTTCACATGAACCCTGAAAAATAGGACTCATATATTTTTAATTTCATATTTTCTTTTACAATATTTGATTCAGCGGGAGGAAAGGATTCTGATAAGTTTTTTGCTTTAACACTTGAGACATTTAATTGAAACTGAAGTTTCAGCTTTGCTTTTTAAATTCCAATATTGAAATTCTTACAGTTTGTCTGTATTTGCTTTGGTTTAGTAACAAATCTGTGCAGTTTTGTGTGTCACTAGAGAGAAAAATCATCGCAACTTTCTTTTCACTCCGTCTGGGCCTATAGCATTAGCAGGAAGTTTGAGCTTTTAATAAAAAAGATACTGTTGAAACAAGATACTTTTTCCACTAATTATTATGTAAACTCTACAAATTGACCTTAATTTTTTTCTATTTTAATAAGATGGAAGCTTTATTTAATCTCAGGTTGCACACATGAGTGCTATTTTTATTATCTTTATTTTAAAGTATTTCATAATTAAAGTTTTGAATGAAGTGACAGCCATCAGGATGGGATCCCTCCATCCTTCCCTCCCTCTGTTCACTCTTGTAGATGTCCTCAAACCTTGATATTGCTGAAGTATTTAGAAAATGTATCACTTCCCAATCAAAGTATTTTTCTTGTTTGGGTCAGAATTATTAACCTTTTTGAGGTGCCACTGCTCTGTACCCCTTTTATTTAAAGTGTGCACCATGCCGTGTGTGTCACTGCCCTTTAGGAGTAGTGAGTTCCGATGTGTGTATTTGCTCATTTTCAACAGATTTCACACACATTTTAAGTAATTGTGTTGAGTAAGTAACTGAAGACCACTGTTAGCTTTTTGAATTTGCGTGTACTCTGATGAAAAAATTAGGCAAATGAATCCTAGGTCATGGATTTCATTTCTATACTAGCCAGTTTTTTATTTGTTTGTTTTTTTCTTAGCTCCCTTATGGGAAAATAAACAGAAAACATTTCTGCTCTAGGAAGGTTTATATAGTCCTTCATTTGCAAGGAAAAGTAATTAAAGAGTTAAATTGTTCTTAAGTAATTAGTTTCTTGGATTTCTTCAAACCTTTTAAAATTTAAGAATGCAATACCCAAGTGGTCACTAGAGAATTGTGCTGTTTTAGTTGTCTGGTTTTAACTTTTTGATGTGAGCTGTGAATCAAATGTTTTCTGATGATTCTTGGGGGGAGGGGATTATAAGGTAGCATTTTCAGAATTTGTTGAAATATTGTTTTATTTCTCTTATTTAGGAACAGCATCTGAAGATGGTAAGAAGTAAATATTTTGTTAGTAATACAAATACCTCTACCACTCTATTTTCATTGGTAGGACTTAAGCATTGAAACTAAACAGGCTAATTTATCTGCAGACCTCTATCATTTGCCAGCTGTGGTAGCTTCTGCATCCCCCCATTTGGTTGTGTTCATTGTGTGTGAATTTTTTTCTAATTCTTCATCATGCAGTTTTGCTTTATATCGAGGATCATTTCATGCTAGAAAAACAATTGCTTAACATGTTTAATAACGTATATAATTTCATTTTTCCCAATATTGACAAAAGAAATGCTTTTATTTTGCTTTTTAAAGAAAAGTCAATGCCAAGTCATTTCTGTTCTGTAGGAGTGCTGCTTTATCACTCGACATCAAATATGTCTAGTCCATCCAGTTTGAAATGTAGCTTTTAATTCTGAATCAATGGCTAGGGAGTTGGTTCATGATTCAAATTGGATTTGAGAATATAACTACATGCTGTGTATACTGAATCAAAAAATATTTATTCCTCAAAAAATATTTATTCCTTCTGACCTGTTTTCCGTCCTCATCCAGGCCTTCACGCTTGTTCTTTCCTAATCAATATAATCAGGTTGGGCTGCTCAGAATTTTGGAATTACCTACAAAATGTACCTCTTAATTTAAAAAGATTATAAACATTTAAAGAACAAACACTGTTCAGCATCAGTATGGATCTATTTGAGACTGGTGCATAGCAGTAGAGAGTTTACTGTCACTGGTTTTTACTACTGGCAGCTTACACAGACAATTTGATGAGCGTGCTTCCTTTAGTTCAAAAGCTGTAGGCATAGCCAATGGGGTGACCCAGTCTTTAACCCTGCAGTTCTCAGTGAGTTTCAGGCCAGCATGATCTACACAGTGAGTTCCAGCAGGGCCAGAGACCCTGTCCCCCACAACTCTAGAAATACGTGAGGACATTTGTAGTATGGTTTTATAGAGGGGATGAGGTGAGGGTGAAGCTAAAAGGAATGCATCTAGTAAGAAAAGAATATTAAGTGCCAGTTCTCTGTGGCCCTCCTTGTAAAATTGTTGGTCAGAAAAAAGGTGTGAACACAGCCGTGTGTACCTGTGTTCACCTGATCTAAAAAGATAGCTTGGCTATGGCATCTCTTCTGCAGACCTCTTTAGAAGTACACTGTTAGTTAAAAAGATTGCTTGGGGTTGTTTAAAGTTCTGGGCTTTATGTGAGAACAGTCTTAATTTCCTAGGAACTGGGAGGTTTTTATTTGTAGGGGGTGGGGCTTGTTTTGTTTTGTTTTGTTTGTCTTCTGATTGTCTCCCTATGTAGAGCAGTCTGGCCTTAAACTCAAAAAGAGATCCATTTGCCTTTGCCTCCTAAGTGCTGAGATGAAAGGTATGTACCACCATGTCCAGCATAATTAGTTATAATCACTACATTAATAATATCAAACTAAGAATGAAAGTCTTCTATAGTTTGACTTAATTATTATATAGAACATGTATAAAGCAGTATATACCTGGGCTTGGTGGTATACAGGCTGTAGTCTCAGATACTTGGAAGCTAAGGCAGGAGGATCTCCTAAGCCAAGGAATTCCAGATAAGCCTAGGTGGAGTGCCATTCCAGAAAGTAGACCCTATACTGTGTACTTTTACTGTTTAAGAGATGTATAACATGGAAATAATGCCTGCCTTTTTTCAGAATTTAAAAAAATACTTGAATGTAGTGGTGGTCCCCCGTCTTAATACTGAGTCCTATTGTGGGAAATACTCTAACTCTTAACATTTATTCCTCAGGTCGGGTGAGGGCCAAGCTTTCTGCACCACTTGCTGCGGTGGGAAGTGCCAAGACAGACTCCAGAGGAAGAAGTCGGACAAAAATGGTGTCTCAGTCCCAGCGTATGTACTGCTCATCAGCCCCTCCTCGTTTGTCAGTCTGCTGGGATGAATGGGTTTCTTTGTTACTGTTAGGAGATGATCAGTGGATAAGTTCAAAGCTGATTGTAAAATGACAAGCCACGTACTGAGTTCTTGTTCTGTACTTTAGGTTCATCATCACCTGACAAAAATGAAGGTATTTTTTTCAATGTTGTGGGTCAGTTGTTGTGCATGTTTGGGAGTTTTTTTGAGTGGGTGTTGTCTTGTGTTTGTGTTACTAGGAACACATTATGACCTCCACCTCTTAGAAAGAAAACGTTCATCTTCTATACAGTTGTTTGCATGGAGATACTTTAAACACAAATCTTTAAAATCAAGGTTCACACTCTACTCAAAAGCTTGCAGCTGTAGAGAATGGTGCCCTTAGAGGCACAATGATTCCTAAGTAGTAGATAAAATCTGTTTCTATTTAGCAGACACTATACAATGACAGATAAGTAGTATCTTCTTAATCTCCCCCAAATTTGTTAAGTCATCATAAATTTCTCTTAAAGTGAGAGAACAATTAGGCTAAAGTAACCAAATCTGCTGAATTCCATATGACATTTGAGATTTATGTTCTTACATTTTCACTGGTCACTGAGTTCCTTAAAAGAACAATTGACAAGCACAATTTTGGGACTAGGTAAAATGAATAATCAGTTTCTGTATGTTCAAACAAGTAACCCATATATAATGACATGTTTAACTGAAAATCATTTCATCCATTCCCTCTTAATCAAGAGATTGTCCTCTCTCTCTAAAATCGGGTAGCTTTTCTAAAGAAGTAATGATTAGGGTTCTTCTGTATAACCTAATTAATTATTTCTTAAAATAATTGGTTAAGGGCTGGAGAGATGGCTCATCAGTTAAGAGCTCTGGCTGTTCTTCCAGAGGACCCCCATGGCAGCTCACAACTGTCTATAACTCCATTTCCAGGGGATCTGATACCTTCACACCAAAGCACATAAAAACTAAAGACAAATTATAAAAGAAAAAGAGTGGGTTTAAAGATGATTGTCAGGTTGTAGATGTCCTATTTGTTTTATTAGCCTTGTTCATGGATCTTGGGATGATGGGTGAGTGGGGCAAGCAGAGATAAAGTTCAGAAAGATAGTAGGGCTCTTGAGTACATGTGTCACAACACGAGCTCATTCTAGCATGAGAATGTCCAGCAGACTATCATCACAAGCTTTCTGCAGGAGTCCTGAAATAAGCAGGAAGATTTGGTAGAATTTGTTTTCAAAATGAAGACTGTTTATAAACAGCCAGGACAACACATGGTCCTATAAGGCAGGGGCTTTTCTCTTACAGATCAAAAGTGGATAATAATGTCACATTCTTTTGTGATTCTGTGAGCTTTTGCAGTGATTCCTAGAGCACATCAATTACCAATGTAGTCTCCCTTCTTGTGTGCTGCCCAGACAAACATCAGTACAACCTGGGAGCTCGTTAGAAATACAGGTCTTGTGTACCACCACAGATGTACCGAATCTGATCGCTGAGTGGTCTGTGCTGTAGTCAAGTTTAAAGACTTTGGAGCTTTATTGTCCAAGGGGGAGTCCTGGCTCTTCTAAGTTAAAGTTACCATATTCCTCTGTATGTATCCATAAAAGGAGAAGGATGATAGCATCTACCTCATGGGACTTCCGTGAGCATCAAATAATAGAGAATATTTAATGCAGTTAAAACAGTGCCTGCCCAAGAGTAAATGCCATGACTGTTAGCTGATAAGATTATCCTTGTTGGGCTGGAGAGAAAGTTCAGTTAAGAGCACTGGTTGCTCTTCCAAAGGACCTGGATTCGGTTCCCTGTACCCACATGGCAGCCCACAACTGTGTGTAACTCCAGTTCCAGGAGATGAAACACCCTCACACAAAGTATATATAGGCCAAACACCAGTGCACATTAGATAAATAAATAAATAAATCTAAAAGAAAAATTGTCCTTGTTATTACTCATAATAAAATGAAAACTGAAATTCATCTTGATGTTACATAGTTTGATATCTTAATGTCCTTGCTGCCCTCATGAAACGGAAGTAAGCACTAAAATTAGTGTGTTTAAAACGTAAAGAAAAATTAAGATATTACATTGTCAATGCTCAGGATTTAAGGATAAAACTTAATTGTGAGATAATTTTCTGACTTCTTGTCATTTGTTGGGACCCTCTTCTTCAGTCATTGCAACTTCAGATCACCAGTGAAAAACAGAATTATTTTACATTTAGCTTGTTAAATAAACCTCATAGGATTCCCACTATAAAAATCATCCAGGTGGTAGATCATATTAGAAAGATTATAATTGTTTGCTTGCTTATTTATTTGAATGAGTATGTGTCCATTTCAGATTCTGAAATGTGTGATTTGTGTGCAAGTTTCTTCACAACGTATTTGCACAGGAGTATTCCTGTGACCTCCATCCTCACTTTGTTGTAGTGATTCATTAGGGGCTGCATGGTTTTGTATTATCATCTAGGAAAACAAAAGAGAATCTCTTGGATCAAAGCAGGTGTGTTCAGGTTCACAGAATAAATTAAAGCAGGCCTAATGGAAAGACTTGTGGATTTACTTTGAGAAAGCAGTATGCCCTCACTGTGCTGGTAGCGACTGACTGTGTACAGATGATGTACGGCCTGTTGGCTTCTTTCTCCTTCCTCTACCTCCTGCTTATCTGTGAATCTTAAGAAAGATTACATTTGTAGCCTTTTCATTTCCTTCTTTCTTCAGCTATAAGATGAGATATTTATTCCTATATCTAAGTTTCAATTGAATGTTTAAATAACAAAATTGTAAGCATTTAACAACTGAGATTTGGGACTTCCCGTAATGGACAAGCTGAAGAATGGGCATTGACTTTTGTCATATCGTTTCATCTGCTTTGTACATGAGTGTCAGCTATAAAAACTGTTAAGTGTGCTGCTTCTGTGACAGACATTTGTGCTATGGAATTTTTTTTAAAGTTTGCTCTGTTTTTTTTTTGTGTTAGTTTTTTTTTTTTTTTTTTTTTTTTTTTTTTTTTTTTTTTTCCCCTGAGAACTGACTAAAGCTTTATTATTTTCATCTGCCATCCATTTTAAACTGCTTCTTCCCTCTTCGTGGATTATAACCCTTACCCTAATTCTGCCTTACACTTGTTCAGGATCACAATCTGCTAATACCGTTGGTGGTAAGAATCTATAGCCTTTATGTGTACATCTGTTGTTCGGTCACCTGTTTTCATTAACAAGAATGAGTTCTATTCAGCAGAAATACCTATTAGATAATATTGTTCTGTGATTGTATTGAAGCACAAACTGCTAGTCATGAGTTCTCTTTGGTCTGTCTTGCTAATATAGATAGTTAAAGTCCTAAAACTTTAATTATCCAAGTTGACTCTACAGATACAAATATTAGAAGAGAGAGGGGCATGCAGTAATGTTTTCAAATTCTGCAACAGGAAAAAAATAGTTATCAAGTTTTGCTTCTAGGGCATTTCTGTTCTATACTATACTCTGGGGTGAGCATGCCCTTTTCTTCAATTCTGCAGTGGCTCTACCAGAGAAAAGAGCCTCAGTATTTTAAGTATAAGTGATTTCGAGTTACAGGTGCCGGAAATAGCCATATCTCCTGGGAGAGGGTAGCACTTACATAAAATAAACACGGCCAGTGTCATTCCTTAAGTAGAAGACATGAGTGTGTTAAAGCTCTAGAGAGCGAACCAGCATACTTTCAATCAGTTCATAAATGCAAAGTAGAAAGAGCAGTCAATATGTAAGTCTTAAACTGCACGTTTTCTGTCTGCTGAATAGACCCACATTTCAAAGAGTTTGTTTTTACTTCCAGTACCTCCACCCACACAATTTATTACTGGTTTTTACAGAATTCATACTGTATGCTCTCAGTTTGTCATAGTTTTATTGTTATTGCCAGTTTTCTCTTAACTTTCATTCGCCTATCTTGCATCGTGAGTTTGTGGCATGTTGGGTGTTTGGGTGTTTTTGTGTGTATGTTTAGTTTAGATATTGCATGGAGGAAACAGATGCCTCAACTATCTTGTAAAGGAGAAAGAAACCAGATTTGAAGATTTGTTTTGTTTTGTTTTGTTTGTTTGTTTGTTTGTTTGTTTTTCAAGACAGAGTTTGTGGCTTTGGAGCCTGTCCTGGAACTAGCCCTGGTAGACCAGGCTGGCCTTGAACTCACAGAGATCCGCCTGCCTGTGCCTCCCAAGTGCTGGGACTGAAGGCAAGCGCCACCAATGCCCTAGATTTGAAGATTCTTAATCTGCAACATCATGAAATTTTTTAATGAACAATCATTTTTAACTAGACAAATAATTTCCTTATAATTTAGAAGTCTTCTACTCAGTAAGTAAATTGTTAATGTCACAGGAAGCACTGATTTTTCACTTTATAATATTGCTATTGTGTGTGTGTGCTGATAACATTTAAGAACTAACCAAGAATATGAATTGGACTAAGCAAACCATGCCCAGAAAACATAACAATAAGGACCATAGCAGACCACATCCAGGTTGTTTGTGCTGTTAGCCTTCATACAGTAGCATAATCAGGAGCTTTAAATGAATGTTCCCAAGAACTCCTTAAAGTTACTTTAAGACAGCTGGCTAGAATGAAAACTGGCATCCTCTATAAGGAAGATGAGACAGTCCTCTGAAATACCTGCCTTGTACAGAGTGCCATTTTTGACACCCAGTGTTTGTTCCCATTGGCATTTGAGTCTTTAATCTGCTGGTTGGAAATGAGACCCAAATGGGTATTAATATGCAGTGCGAGCAGTGACTCTTACAGGGTAGTAAATAGGGATAACAGAGAAAAGTTTGCCCTGAAGATTTATTTAAATGCAGATTTAACTTTTCTATAATAGTGCTATTCAGTTAGATTGTATCTTTGAGCTGTCTGATTCATGTTTTTATTCAGTATACACATAAAGCAATTCAATCGACAAAGTCACCCCCCCCCCTTAAAAAAGTAGCCTGTGTGTTTCTAGTTTAAAAATGTGTTTCTTCCTAAGTATGGTTGTATATGCCTACAATGCTAGCACTTAGGAGGTAGAAGCTGGAGGATTGCTTCACATTCTAGACCAACCTAAGATATTCAAGAATGCCCTATCTAAAAATGCATTTCTTAACATTGCTAAATCCATACTCAGATCTCTGAGTTTTTCTGACATCCCTCTCTTTCTCCTTGACTACATCTCTGTTTCCTTTGACATTTCCCTCAGAGTTCTGGTCTACCTTTAGTACTTATGTGTCCTAGAATGTGGTCAGCGAAGAGGTCTCTGCCTTCGAATGGGGGAGGGGGGTTCTTTTTATCAACTGGCCCAATTCATTCAACATTTAATTTAAATTTAGTGCTTTATTTATTCCTTGGCAATTTCATACATTGAATACTATGTATCTTGGTCATACAGTCTCCCCTGCCTTTCTTTTCAGTCCATCTTTATCTTCCCCCTCTACCTAAATAATGCTACCAGCATGTGCAAGGATGTGTGTGTGAGAGGGTGACCTACTAGGGGCCACACCATGGGGAAAGAAAATTGACTCTCCCTTCTCCAGTAGCCATCAACTGCCAAAAGCTCTTCAGGTGTGGATGGGGCCTCACGAGCTCTTCCTCTATCCAGGCTGAACTATATTAGCTGGATGGATTAAGTGCAGGTAACCCAAGCTGCTGTGAGTTAATCAATATAGTAGTTATGTCCTGTCCCCAAACTACATTTCACAGTACTACTTCGGCCATCCCCTTACATTCCATAATGCCTTCTGCAAATGTGTCCTGAGCCTTGTATATGGAGGGACTTAATAGAGAAGTCTCAGAGCTGAGCATCCAACGGTTACTTATTCTAAGACCTTTGGACAGTTAGGAGTCTCTGCATTAATCACGGCCCACTGCAAAAAACCTTCTCTGACCAAATTCAAAAGCACCACAGTTTTAAATTTCGTAAAATTTAAAAATGTGAATAGCACCACTGACCTTGACCAGATATACTTCATGAGGCAAATTATTTTAAGAAAAAGCAAGTTGTGACTTTTATGTACACAGCACAATTAATAGTGATAGAATTAAGAGATTACATCCCTTTAAGTAATGCTTTAGCACAGAGCATCTTTAGCATATGAAACACAGTGTCAAATGTGGGATTCATCTGGGGATATTTTTACTGTTTGTCTTAAAAACCCCAGTAGTATTGCCATCATCAAACACACACTTGTACAGTTTATCCTTCAGAGCTGGCATGCGCAGCACTTTTCCCAAGCACATTTTGTTTGTATAGCTCTTCCTCAGTCCATTTCTTTGGTCTTAGAACCTGACATAATACCACAGTTTTCTTGTGTCTTTGCAAGTTCCCTTGGCATCAGCATTTGCATATTTTTATATGTGTTTCCTGTTTAGCTGGCAGCCGGTCTGGGTCTCCAGGAAGAGTTCTAACCACAACAGCCCTCTCTACTTTGAGCTCTGGTGCCCAACGAGTCCTGGTCAGTTCAGCTTCAGCCCAGAAGAGAAGCAAGATACCAAGGAGCCAGGGCTGCAGCAGAGAGGCCAGCCCGTCCAGGCTTTCCGTGGGTAAGACTCTGAGGTCCACCTTTGGCCTCTTTGAAAGTTCAAGGAGAATTGAAGTCTAGGTTGCTGAAATGTAGGATATGAATCGTGTGTTGAAATGCACACACAATCCCATGTGGCAGTCAGAGGCCATCTCACAGGAGCCTTTCTCTACTTCTACCGGTTCTGGGATCAAACTTAAGTGATGAGGCTTGACAGGAATTTCCTGAGCCATCTTGCAAGCCTGACTTTTTATAATATTCAGTGTTATGCATTTGCATTCACAAGCAAGTTTGGCTTCATAAGATGACTTTAATGTTGAAACATGGCTCAGGGCATAAGAACACTTGGTGCTCTTTCACAGGACCTGAGTTTGGTTCTCACCATCCATACTAGGCAGCTTACAACCACCTGCAACTCTGGTTCCCAGGGTTCTGGCACCATGTTCTGGCTTCTGTAGGCACTGTCACACATGTGGCACACACACACATGCACACATAAATAACTTGGTGGGGGGAGTTGTTGCTCTTTGTTTGTTTGTTTGTTGAACCATGGTTTCCTCTGTAGCCCTGGCGGCTGTCCTGGAACTCAGTCTAGACCAGGCTGGCCTCCAACTCATAGAAATCCACCTGCCTCTGCCTCCTGAGTGCTGAGATTAAATGTGTAAGCCAACACAGCCAGCTAAATACTTTTATTTTTTGAATTGTTGGGCATAGTGACTGATACCTTGGCCATGGCGGTTAATCCTGGGACAGAGGCAGAAGTATATAGTGAATTTTAAGTCAGCCTGGGCTACATAGTAAGACTCTTCTCTGTTACAAATTATTTTAAAGACAAAAATAAAAAGTTATAAAATGTATTTATTTTGTTATGAATCTAGTTTGCTACCAGGACATAGTCTGCCACGACCCCTCCTCTTCCTGAGAGTACTGAGTGTTGAGTGTTGTGGCGTGTGGGAAGGGACACTCTGCTGCACTCTCCGCTCAGAGCCCTTCCAGTAGCTCAGATCAGGCCATGTCTGGCCACTTTGCTCTGCAGTGAGGCCTCCCCGGATTTTATCCCAACGATTTCTGACTTTTTACCTCTTTTAAAAAACTTTTATAAAAGCCATATTTTCTTCTCATATCCTTAGTGACATTGTCGGTGGAGCTTCTTGCCTTAGAGTTGTGGCTTCCTTTGTGTGGGCTGTGGCCTGGTCCACTGTCAAGGATGTCACTCTGTCATTCCCTTTCACTGCTTTGCAGGATTGAGTGGACTCATCCTCGGATTGTCTCATCTTTCTTGATTTACTCTTTTGCTTGGCCTCATACACTTTCTCAAATAAATTCCTCAGAAATTGTGTTTAGGAGTCTGGGTTTTTGTCACTGCATTAAAAATGTCTTTATTCATTTCAGAGCCGGAGACTTCCTTTAGGCCTGCAGATTTAATAGCGCCAAGGACTTCTGGGATTGCATCCTCACTGACTTGTTTCTTTTAGTTTTCCAGACATTATTTTAGCAGGAGGAGCTGCTGCCACTGCTTCTCCTCCTCCTCCTTTCTGTTTTGTTGTTTGTTTGTTTCCAGGCAGAGTTTCTCTGTGTAGCTTTGGCTGTCTTGGAACTCTTTCTGTAGATTAGGCAGGCCTGGCACTCACAGAGGTCCACCTGCTCATCTACCTTCAGTACTCAGATTTTCTGTTTGGGTTTGGGTTCTTGGTTTGGTTTGGTTTGGTTTGGTTGTTTTGAGATAGGGTTTCTATCTGTGTATTGCTTTGAAGAGTACTCAGATTTTTCAGGCGCTTTTTTCCTTGTGTTTGTATTTTGTGTTTTTATTCATGAGGAGCTACATGGTGAGTTTGAGACTAACCTGGGTTCTGTGGGTCTAGACTCCATCTCAAAAGAGAAAATAATAAAAGAGTAATTTATTTTCAGCCCCAAATCAAGCAAACGCCTAACTTCTGCCCTCTGTTTCCTCTCACTATGCTGCTGCTGTTTGATGTCAGCCCGGAGCAGTCGTATTCCTCGCCCGAGTGTGAGTCAAGGCTGTAGCCGGGAAGCTAGTAGAGAGAGCAGCAGGGACACGAGCCCGGTCCGCTCTTTTCAGCCCCTTGGTAAGTGTCTGAGCAGGTGTGGGCTGCACTGCCGCCCCAGTGAGGGAGCCTTCACCATCTGGAGACCTCCATCTTCCTGGGATTCAGGGTTCTTCATCAATTGTATCTTTACTCTGCCATTCTGAGAAGAGAGTCCAGAGGAGTGATACATTTAAGTAATGAGTTTGGCCTTTGTAACTTATCTTTAATGACTGAGTCAGTCATTATATAAATGACTCCTATCACAGTCAAGTCAGTGTCACACAGATACAAACTCGAAATATCGAATTCAATTTCTGCACTAAGGAGGCTGACTCAGGATCATAAGTGAAAGCAACCCAGCCTACATACTTCTCTCTAAGAAGACAAAAAAAGAAAGATTGAATTCAGAACATTAGAATTAGAACATACTTTAATTTTTAAATATTTACTCACAAGTAAAGTATGAACTAGTTGATTAAGTAAATTTATTCCTTTTCAACAGAAAAATTGACTTCGACGTAGATCATTTAATGTAGTCTTCTAGAAAGACAACTACAGAGTGACATAAACTTCATCATCGTAGGGAAGGATTGACATTTTATATTATTTTATAGTTTAATCACCATGTAGCTAACTTATTTCTGATTGTAGTTTGTCTTATAATTTTGATTATAATACTATATTTGCCACCATTATAAAAGTATTAATTGTTTTTAAGGCCTTAATGTTTCCAGTATAACTGGACAAGCAGAATATTTTGCTTTGAGAATGTTTTAAAATTTTTCTCTGTACCCTTTTCATGCCTAGATCTCCTTTTCTGTAAAATAAGGATAATAGTGTATATAAAAATTAGGAATGTTTGTAAGTTTGTATACAGTAACAGTAAGTTGTATACAGTACATAAAAATTAGGAATGTTTGTAAGTTTGTATACAGTAACAAAATACTTGGAAGGCAATCCAGGGCCCACAGCAAGCTATGGCTGTTATTTTCCTCCCTTGGCTTACCTAAAAAAAGATTTTAATGGTATATGCATTTATATAACGCTAATACTGTACTGGTAGGAAATGTGTCAGGAAGAAACCAAATGTATTTCTGTTTATTTTAAACTTGTGCAATAATTTAAGATTGTATGAAATGTATAACCAAGTACTTTAGTTTAAAAGGGTAAAAAGGTAAGCGTGGGGCTGGAGAGATTGTCAGAGGTTAGGGTACAGGCTGCTCCTCCAGGGGACACAGTTTCAGCTCCTAGAACCTACATGGTGACACACTGTTTTTAACTCCAGTTCTCAGAGTCCAGCATCTTTTTGTGGCCAAGACGAAGAGAGAGAAGTGAGCCTAGTTAATTGGGTGCAGTGACACGTGCCTGCAATCCCAGCAGTCAAGGAGACATAGGCACTGAAAGTTTGAGGCCACCCTGCAACACAGCAAGACACTCTTTCAAAAACGACAGCAGCAACAAAAACCGTAACCTTGGTTAATAATCTAGTTTTTTAAAGAAACGTATGATATTGGAACTGAATGTAGGGCTTCCAAATTCTAGATAAGTGTTCTGCCACGGAGCTGTATCCTCCACTCTAAAATGCACTTTTCTAAGGAAAGATGGTGTGGGCATTAAACTAGCTATGTGGCCAAGGCTAGCTTTGAACACGTGATCCTCCTACCTTAACTTTCTGAGTCCTGGAGTTGCAAGGCTATGCCACCATACATAGCTAGGCCATTAATATTCTAGATTAATTTCAAAGCTTTCATTTGACAAATTACTTAGATTTGTTGCTACAGGCAGCTATTTCCTGATTCTCAGTCAACTTTCTACTTGGGATAAAGATGCTAAAACCTTTTAATCGACTTTTGCTAGAAGATTTTTTTTTTTTTTCAATTCCTAGATCAGTTTTCAGACATGCTTCTGTAATCTCATTATTTACATAAAAATACTGAACAGCGGCCCATGTGGTGGCCAATGCTGAATCCCAGCATTCAGGAGGCTGATTAGTCCTGTTTGCTTCACAGGGGTAGCAATCCAAAGGGCATGCCGTCCTCACCCTTCCCATTTTCTCTGTCCTGGAGGCACTCCTATATATCCTGACTTGATAGAATCTCTAGTCTTCTGTGGCTTTGAAGAATATATATACTCAGCACATGTATTCTATAGCCTGTCACACAGTCTCCACGGCGCTCTCTCTCTCTCTCTCTCTCTCTCTCTCTCTCTCTCTCTCTCTCTCTCACACACACACACACACACACACACACACACACACACACGGATTCTATAGCCTGTCACACAGTCCCCACGTCTCACACACACACGTGCACACACACGGATTCTATAGCCTGTCACACAGTCCCCACGTCTCACACACACACGCGCACACACACGGATTCTATAGCCTGTCACACAGTCCCCACGTCTCACACACACACGCGCACACACACGGATTCTATAGCCTGTCACACAGTCCCCACATCACACACACGGATTCTATAGCCTGTCACACAGTCCCCATGTCACAAAGCCAGTGTAAAGGTTTGAAAACGCAGGCAGTCAAAGCTGAGCAAAGTTCCACTTCTCTGAAACTAATCCCTTGCGTTTCTGTTTACTCAGGAAGCAAGAGTCAAGAAAAGATGTTCTGTATTGTAGCCACATGCATATACCTCTTATGTATATTGTAGCCACAAACTTGATAGATCTTACTCATGTAAACTATAGCCTGGACCAAAGGGACTGTTCATTCCTGAAAATTTTCAAAGATTTTCAACCATGAGGCATTTCCACATTATGGCTCAGATCTTTCCTCGACATTTTAGACCATTCCCTTACATAATATAATAACTAGGTAGTATAGTTATCTACTGGCTTTTTAGTACTAGATTTCAGTACTTATTAGCTATTTGTGCACTATTGTCTGTCTAATCCTTTCCCTCAGTCTTGTTGATGAATTTACTATTTATGACAGCCATCCTGTAGGAAAAGCAAAAGTGATTCTTGTAATAAAAAATAGTTAACAGCCCTCACTAATAAATCTGAGGAGGATGAACTTAAAGTGCAAGCTATGTATTTCACTAAAATTCATTTATGTAGTTGCTTATTTCTGGATGTAAGACAGGGATCAGCTTCCTATGCTGTCAGAATCTGAACAGAGATCTAAACATGCAAAGTATGTTAAGTTTAGGTTGTAGAGTGATATTTAGGGGGGATTCATTACAGATTTTAAGGGGTTTTATTAGGTTATTGATACTGTTTTGATGCTCAGACTTCCATTTCTCAATAGTGCATTATTGAATGTAGAGCTAATAATCTGTGGACTATTATGAATAAGATGCACATTAACAGAGGTGAAGTCAATGATTTTTGAATAATCAGAGCATTGTCTGTGTACTTTCTGAAAACAAAGGTCTTGAAAGAACACAGATACTGAGTTACAGCACTTAATGGTGTGGTTTTCATCACATAAATCAGCCTCTGTATTGTAATTCCCCATCTGTCTTAGTCTGCCCAGGCTGCTATAACATGCTGTAGTCTCTGTACTTTTAAGTGAGCAAGATTTATTCTCCCAGTTCTGGAGGCTAAGATGTCCAGGTGAAGGCACTATCCATTGTGTGCTGAGGGCCCCTGGCTTCTCCTCTGGAGCAGGAACTGCTTAGCTCCCTGGAGTCTCCCTTATGAGTACCTTGCTCTCATGACCAGATTGCATCTTAGAGGCACCACCTGCCTTTTAACACGTGGGGTCAGGATTTTGACATATGAATGGAAGGGCACAAAAATTCAGACCTATAAAATTAAAACAATAGTGCTCACTGGGTATTCAGAGTAAAGGAGATAAGATTAGTTACCATAGTGGTTTTTTTTTTTCCACTACAAGTGTTTGTTTTTGTTCTGTTTTCATGCTTGTACTTTTGACATTTCCCTCCATTTGAATACTTGCCTGTTTTGTCTCCTGCAGGCCTATGTCTGTCCACTTAGGTATAGTTTGTATTTGTGTCAGGGTTGATCTTGCAATGGTAGTTAATGTTGAGTTGCCGCATGTGGCGATACTCTGGTCATTAAATATGAAGAGTAACACCACTGTTAACTAACTCTCCTTGCCTGACAGTAGTGCTGCCACTATTCCTTGTTTCTGTGGTGATAGATGAGGTTTGTATGGTCCTGTTATTCCAGCCTCCAGACACCATTCCAGATCCACTGGTGCCCTCTACGCCCCCGATGTGTATGGGGCCTCAGGTGAAGGATGAGTACATTTTCACTGCCATCTCTGCGTTCATCTCAGATTTTGTCCTTTTCTGTTTTCATCACATAATGTCCATTTTAAAGTTAATTTTCATTATTTACATTTAATTTATTAGAGAATAAGTTGCTTGAGTTTTTTTCCCCCACAAGTAACTATCCTTCCTTTAGCAATCTTAGCATTTTTCTAACTAGCAGATGGGCGTTGTTTTTTGCTTGGTTTTTTTTTTTTTTTCTCTCTTTTTTTTTTTTTTTTTTTGGTACAACTTGCGTCACTTTTTAAATATAGAATTATAATTGTTTTATGTTCTCATTTATTTCATCTTTATATATGTGTGCTCAAAAAAAAAAAAAAAAAAACCAAAATGGTGGATGAAGTGTTTTAATTGTAAACAAAGGTATACAAAATAGTTGGTGGGAGGGTGAGAATTCATCTCTGGTTTGTTTATGTGTCAGACCAGTGGGCACGTAGTAGTCACTTAATGGTTATTGAACAGTCTGTTTTAGCTAAAGAATGACATCATTGTCCTGGAGGAGAGGTTATAATTAGAGCCTTTTCTTGTGGTGAGTTGCTGTTGTGATTTCATAGCTCTGGGTTAGTTACTTTAGGGTTTGCTTCATTTGGGGAGCCTTGCCTGTATTGGCAGAGCCATTGTCTCCCTGTTCTACTAAGTAAACAGTGGTTCTTTAAATTTGTTTCTCATTTGTCAATAATTTTGATTGCTTTTTTTCCCTTTTACTTGACCAAAACCTCACTGTGCCCAGAAAAGAACAATATTGCTTTTAAAATGCTTTGTCCCATTGGTTTTTTTTCTCCCCCCTTAGTAAGAGTTGAATCCCACTCCCCTACCCCTTGCGTTATTACATTTGTGACTGTCTGAAAGCTTTTTTTCTTTTTCTGGTGAATTAGGTCCGGGATATGGGATCAGCCAGTCAAGCCGATTGTCATCCTCCGTGAGTGCCATGCGAGTTCTAAACACAGGCTCCGATGTGGAGGAAGCGGTCGCTGATGCCTTGGTACTTTTCTTCTTTTGTGCGTCCTTATAGATGTTTCTGTTCGAAGCCAGTGTGTGAGAGAGCCTTCCTCTGTGTGGGCAAAGGGTTGAGAGATTCTAGGTAAACCTAAGAAGACAAAATGTAGGCAGTGTACGTAGCAGAGTAGAACATTAATGATCGATCCTTACTAATATTCAGAATTTCAAGCCAGGCCCAGTAATCTTAACTGTGTGTCACAAACAAAAATCTTGATGTTTTTAGTAACAGTAGTATCATGTTTAATTATCGCAGTGTACTGACTGATGGCGAATGGATTGGTACATTTGTATATACTCACAAACATAATTTCAAGGTTATCTTCACCTTGAGTTTGTAGGTGTTTGTTTTGGAGACAAGGTTTCCCTGTGCAGTCTTGACTGTCCTGGAGCTTTGTGTGCAGACCCTACTGGCCTTCAACTCAGAGCTCCACCTGCCTTGACCTCCTGAGTGTTGAGATTAAAGGCATGTCCCCCCATGCCTGGACTGATTATTTATGTAAGATATTTTCCTGGTTCTTTATGCTCCACATGAAAAACTAAGTATTGCAGAATTGGGGTAGTTGTAGGAAGACTGCTGTGTACCATATGTATGTTCACATGTGTATTTATACCGTCCTTATGCGCAGTTATGAAGACTGGAAACAAGGGATGGAGTTCATTTGCTTACCTTCCCTAGGCAGTCCAATAGGACTCCTTCTCTTTCACATTAGGGCTTAGTCTGTGGGTAGCTGAGTAGTCGAGGACTGAAGACAAGGGGACTCAAATGATGATAGTAACCCTCTTATTCAAAGTGTCCATTCACTTTGTCTTTGTGGGTATTAGGGTTGCTACTGGCATCGGTCTCGAAGCCTTGTTCACGCTGAATTTCTACCTGTAATTTAGGGAAGGCCCTACCACTGGGTTAGCACCCTGTGCCCCCAGCTTTGTTTTGAAATTTACAAGTACAGTATTCAGCTTGAAAAAAAAAAAAAAAGACCAATATTGTGGGGAAAAAGTTGGATATAGATGTAAAAGATACATTTTTAAAATATTCATTGGTTATAGCTATGATTTATTACATATAAACATATATGATAATGTGTGATAATAATGACAATGTTGACCTTCTGTCTTTACCTCAGCTGCCAAAGTTTTTAATATACTTAGAGGCTCTGTTCTTCTGAACGTGAAGTGTGTTGATCACATTTTCTGATGGCATTTAATCAGTCAGGTGTTTTAAGTTTTTATTGTGCCTTATTCTGTTTCCCAAGTCATGTTTTCCAGCTTCCTTTTGGTTGTTGGGTTTGGTTTTGGTTTTGGTTTTTTTTTCCCCCCTTTAAGTTTAATGATTTGCCATTTAACTTTTGCTTGTATAAGTTTTAGGGATTGGCTTTGTTATTCTTGAGTTGCTATTCATGCAAGCAAGAAAGATGATAGCTTCAAGAAAATAGTTTTAGAGTTTATTTAATGTATGTGTGTGTGCGTATTTTGCCTGAGCGCATGTCTTTGCACCATCTGCATTCCTGGTGACTGTGGAGGTCGGAAGGCACCAGAGCCCCTGAAACTGGAGTTACAGATGGTTAGGAGCTTCCATGTAGAAGCTGGCAATTGAACCCAAGTCCTCTGCAAGAGCAGCCAGTGCTCTTAATCCCTGAGCCATCTCTCCAGCTCATTTTTTTTTTTTTTTTTTTTTTTTAGACAAAGTCTTAATGTGTGGTTCTGTCTGGCCTGGAACTCACTGTATAGGCTAACCTTAAACTCACAGAGATCCACCTTCCTTGTGAGTGCTGGGATTAAGGTGTGCAGTACTAACCATCGGAGGTATTAACTACAAAGCTGTAAATCTGAATTATAGTCAGAGGATTCTACTTTCATCGTTTGCATAGCACAGTTGTACCTGTCAAGTTTTTGGAAAATTTCCAACTACTAAACCTGATTTGTACCTGGGAAATAAAGTCTAATTTAGAAATGGCAAAACAGCTATAAATAGTAAGAATACTTTGAGTTTCTTTGGGAAACTGTTGCTGGGAATGTTTTTGTAGCTTAGGTGTTTCTTTTTTAATTAAGGGATACTGGCAAGATTATAAAACCTTACAATAAACAGCTCTTATGATATCTATACGTTGTAAAACTGAATATTTCTGGTTGTGGGCGTTGTTAATGCCAAGTTCACTGTGCTGTTTAGCAAAATGTTCTTCATTATTTTCAATTTCTCTCTTTAAAAATTGGCTGCTCTCAGCTCTTAGGAGACATACGGACTAAGGTATAGACATCGCTATTTTCTGACATCTTCTGATATCATAACTTTTGTTCTTTGCTTCATCAACGTAACAGATAATAGTCATCTATAAAAAAATTAAAGTGGCAGTAATAAAATCCTTGGCTGTCCATCTGTTATTCTGTCACTGTGATTGTCTGTGGGGGATACTGAGTGAACATAGTGTCTTAGGGAGATGCCACTTTTATACTAGAGTCTTTAATAGAATTCATTCTGGAGCCCACCTGAATAAACATGGTCATTCTAAATTGACTTAGTAGTGGCAGCAGTTTTGTAAAACCTATGTGATTATTTGTGTTCAGATAGTCTATCTTTAAGATTTTAGACAGAGCATAGGTAGATGTTTGGGAATTCTGAATTGCTGCCACGGTTAGTGTGCTTCATGGCAGTAGCTCCACTTCTCCCCAGCCAAATCCCAAGTATCAGAGTGATTACATCTGTTTCAATTTCTCCAGGAAAACCTCAAATGAGTACTTTACTCGACCTCATGCCACTTTTAATATGAAAGGCATAATGGACAGATGTATAAATCAAGAAATGAAAGGAACCTCAACTGCTTTCTCATACAGAATAAGCTACACAACATAGATTACATTGGGAAAACTCTAGGGATACATACGCATCTTGCTTCCTACAATTCTTAGTGAGCATAACCCTTTCTCACCGTCTTTGTATTTTACTTCTCTTGGAAGTATAAAGCGGGGAGGAATGGCAAGAGAAATAGAAAAGAATGGATATATGGACAGGGGAGAACATGGTATTTTACATACGGGAATCAAGGTTTTACTCCTCTCAAAAGGTGGTATTTTCTTATTATCTACTCCTACTTCTAGTACAGTTTACATTGCTTGTTCTTTTCCATTCTAAGGAGAAAGCCTGTCCTTTTGAGCATCTCCCACTTGACATGACCGAGCTTGCACATAGTCATCTTCTCCTGTACTGCCCTCATAGTTAAATAGTTCATGAACAAAAATTAAATGTTGACATTTACTTTACACTGGTTAGCAGCATGCCCCAGTGATGTAAGACAGAAATCAGTCTTCTTGTGTTGTGTAAACACTATGGAATACCCATATGTTTGTAACTTCTGCTAATGTAGTTCTTGATATGTAACAGAAAAAACCTGCTCGAAGAAGATATGAATCATACGGAATGCACTCAGATGATGATGCCAACAGTGATGCTTCTAGCGCATGTTCAGAACGCTCCTATAGTTCTCGAAATGGTAGTATTCCTACCTACATGAGACAGACGGAGGACGTGGCAGAAGTCCTCAACAGATGTGCTAGCTCCAACTGGTCAGAAAGAAAAGAAGGCCTCTTGGGTCTGCAGAACTTGTTAAAAAACCAGAGAACGCTAAGGTGAGAAATGTCATGAAATACTTTTTCAAGCAGGATAGCACCTTTTGTCTTGAGTTTGTGAAATGTATCAGAAACTATATTAAAGGTTTTCCCAAGCTGTACTCCTTTAGGGCCATCAGTATCATAACTAAAAAGGCTATAATTTTCTTTTTGTAGTTAGTAAGTTATTGTAAAGCAAAACTTACAGGTTTAGGGGATAACTTACTGAGTGAAATGCTTGTTATGCAAGTGTGAGGCCCCAGAACAGGGTCGCTGGAGACCATGAAAAACTGGACACAGTAGCACACTCTAATCCCGTGCTCCTTTGGAAGGATGGAAGGTGGAGGCAGGAGGACAGTTGGGAACTCAGTCCAGCTGTGTGGTTTGCACAGCAGCCAAACAAATGGGCCCTGTCTCAAACAAGTGGAAGGCAAGGACTGGCGACAGGGGACTTACGCACGTGAGTCCACATCCACACATGTGAAAACAACATTAAAACAACACATTAAAAAACAAACACCTTTTTAGTCAGGCATTGTGTCACACACCTCTAATCCCAGCACTCAGGAGGCAGTGTCAGGCGATGTCTGCAGCCAGCCTGGTCTACAAAGTGAGTTCCAGGACAGCCATCTAGAAAACAAAACAAAAAACACCTTTTTATTCAAAATAAGTCAACTTGTTAGTAATTTTGGAATTCAAAATAAGTAAGGGATGATTATAGAGTGATAAAACACTGTTTTTTGTTTGTTTGTTTTGTTTTGTTTTGGCTTGTTTGTTTTTCAGGACAGGGTTGCTTTGTGTAACAGCTCTGGCTGCCTTGGAACTCACTCTGTAGACCAGACTGGCCTAAAACCCAGAGCTACACCTGCCTCTGTCTCCTGAGTGCTGGGATTAAAGACATGATCCACCACTGCCTGGCTTAGAGCAATTCTCTTAATGGTTTAGTTTGCTTCATTCTTACAACTTTCATTCTCCTTGTTGATGTGATATTTTAAACCTATATAGTTGACTCCTTAAGAATCCAACTTCAGATTAGGTATGTTGGCACGTGCCTTCAATCCTGTACTCCAGAAGGCAGAGGCAGTTGTATCTCTATGCTTAAAACCAGTTTGTTCTACATAGTGAGTTCAAGGCCAGTGAGGGAGACAGTCTCCATAAAAATCAGATTTGGATAATTGATCGGTGCTAGTGCATTACAAGTGTAGAAAGCTGTTTTCTCACTTGACAACAGTAATACCGATGTTTTATATACTTTCTGTTTATATACTTGTTGAGATGTATTAGAAATATAAATTTTTGTTTTTGCACTACCTGATATATTTCCGGGTAAACATATCACGTATCATGACTCAGTGCATTTAATCATAATATCAGGAGTATTGGGAGGATCGTGTCATTTTAAATGGAAAAGAGAGTGGGCGATTTGGGAAAAGGCGGGACTTAAGAGGACACTGGAACACTTAATAAAACCCCTGTGTAGGTCCCTACATACAGTTTGTTTTTTTTACACACTGCCGATAAAGTGCGGTTCTTCCCCTCATCGTCATTCCCATTCAGCAGCAGTGTGGGCTGCCGCAGGGTTATTATCACAGTTGACAGCTCCACCTTCATCGTGGCCTAGAGAGCCTGCACAAGAGAGCCTGCACAGTTCTCAGTTTTGAGGAGGAATTTGTATAACCTTTTTGTTGTCGTTGTTAATAAATTTCATGATTCACAGGCTTATTTTTAAAGTATGACGTCACCCTATAGCAAGATATTGACCAGCATTTATTCATTTGTTTGTTTGTTTATTTTGGCAGTCGAGTGGAACTGAAAAGATTATGTGAAATTTTCACAAGAATGTTTGCTGATCCTCATGGCAAGGTATGTTGTAGTATTTAAGGATTGTTTATTCCTTTGGGGTATCCAAAAAAGTAGTAAAGTAACAGAAGGAAATGATAAGCCATTGGTAGTGATATTTTCAAACATAATTTCAGTTGTTTCATATGATGCATAATTTGGAAACTGACCTTTGTATCCATTCATTCAAGCTTCTCCAAAGGAAGATTGAGGAGGTGCAGCTGCAATCTCAACTCTTATGGTTTAGACTCAGCAAAGAATGCTGTGCAGGCTGGATGGTTGCTTGGTAGTATCTGAAGTTTTACCACTAGAAACAGAGGTTTAAAAATGGTAGCGTTAAGGCCTGGTGGTGTTGGTGCACACCTTTAGTCCCAGCACTTGGAAGGCAAAGGCCTGCTGATCTCTGAGGGACAGCCAAGGCTGTTACACAGAGAAATTCTGCCTCAAAAAAAACCCAAAAAACTTTTAAAAGTAAAATAAAATGTCAGCTATGCGGCTAGAGAGACCGGCTGAGTGGTTAAGAGCACCGGCTGCTCTTACAGATGACCCGACTTCAGTTCCACATCATTCGCCTCACAATCATCTGCTAACTCCAGCAGGCGAGTGCGCTAACTCGAGCTGGTGAGTGCGCGTGCCTGTGCGTGCGTGTGTGTGTGTGTGTGTGTGTGTGTGTGTGTGTGTGTGTGTGTGTGTGTGTTAGAATAATAAAAATAAATCTTAAAGGAGCCGGATAGTGTTTGGCACATGCCTTTAATCCCAGACTCAGACTCAGGAAGCAGAGGGAGGCATACAGCTCTGTGAGTTTGGGACTATCCAGGTTTATAAATTGAGTTCTAGGGCAGGCTCCAAAGCCTGTCTCAAGAAAGGAGGGGGGGAAAAAAAGGAAGAAAAAAGGGAAAAACTGTCAGCTGTGGTGGTACACTCTTGCAATCTGAACACTGGAATGGTGAGATGGATTCAGGAAGATCCCTGAGGCTCACTGGCTAGTTATCCTTGCCTGGTATGGGCCAGGCCTGCCAGAGGAATGGTCCCTGAAAACAACACCCGAGTTTACCCTCTGGCCTTCCACATACACGCTCATACCCTTACATGAACATGTTCACGCACATATATGTGTGTGAACACACATATACAACAAAACATTTTGCTGCTTGTAAAGGATGTAAATGGGTTAAGTTGCAAACATTTTTAACATTTCTACTTTCTTCTGTGCTAATTACAACATTAATGTAACTATTCTTTATCTTGAAAGAAAAATATTGTAGAGAATTTGCTCTTAACAAAAACCATAAAATAACATTTGAACTATAAAAGAAATTCTTCATACATTGAAAAAATACATAAAACTTTCTGAGTATTTTCATTTTTTTAATATTTGTCAAGTGTATTTAGAGTTGGGTTTGTTGACATATTCTTGTCATCCTAATACTTGGGAAATGAAGGCAGGAAGATCACAAGTTCAAGGCCAAAATCAGCTACATAGTGCATTTGAGGCCAGCCTGGGCTACATGAGGCTCTGTCTCAAGTGTATGTATTTAATGAAGTATGTAAAGTCATCATGTGTACTGTGAAATGTTGGCTTCCCCAACACTCATCATTGTAAATGTGCTACATCCATAGTTGGCATGGGTACCAGAACTCAGACTAGTGGTGACAGTGCACAAACGGCAGATAAACAGACAAAAGTGCAGGAAAGTTGGGACCAGCTGAGCTGGCTGTCAGATGGAGAAGCTACCCTGAAAGCTAGAGCTCAGGGAGAAGGGGCCATTGCATACAGTCCACAGGGAGAAGGGGTCATTGCATACAGTCAACATGGTGACAGTGTTGATAGTATACAGCTGAACAAGGAGGCTGATCCTTGGTAGAAGCAGTCTCTGTTAGGGGAGCAATCAGACCATAAACATCTGGAGGGAGAAAGCTGCAGAGGACATTTCCTCACATTTGCACCTGGGAAAGTCTCTTATGGCACTTTGACACTCTAAGCCCACCCTCTGACACACTTCCTCCAACAGGACCACACCTCCTAGTCCTAATTCTTTCAAAGAGAGCCACTCCCTGGTGACTGACTAATCATTCAAATATATGAGCCTTTGGGTGCCATTCTTACTCAAAGCACCATACCGTTCTATATTGCTGTTGTTACCACTACTGACTTCTGTAGTGTTTACCTTATTGGAAATGTTTCTCTACAGTGTAAACATTTAATTTTGATCATTTCAGTTGACAATATAAGCCAAAGAAGGAGACCATTACCTGAATGTACCTTTGTTTTTATTATACAGCATTTTAATTTATAGAACATTCAACTTTGAAATTAGAATCGTTAAACATCTTCAGAAGTGATAAAATTATAATGTTGCTATCACCAAGGCCAAGGCATTTCTTAAGGTTAATTTTTGGCTCTTCCTTTGATAGTACTGCAACTTCATTTAGATGCCAGGGTCTTCACAGACATAAAGAGAAACGCTTTTTAAATGATCAAATCGGTGAGTCTGTAAAATGGCTCAGTGACTAAAGGTGCTTATTGCCAAGCCTGACAATCTGAACTTGATTCCTAGGACCCGCATTACAGAAGGAGAAAATTGAGTTCCTAAAGTTATCCTATGATCTCCACATGTGACCTGTGGCATGTAACTAACCCCTATACACAAATAAACAAATAAGTAATAGTAATTTTTTTTAAAATACCAAATAGAAGAACTGAGTTTGACATTGGTTAGGGAACTGAAGTGAGCATAATGTGTAGAACTAACTCCACACCCCTACAAAGAAGGGTCACCTGTGGGCTTTTGTCTTAGGATTTTACAACATAGAGTTTTCTCTTTTTAAAATTTTTACTTTATATGTATAAGTGTTTGCCTGCATGCATGTAGGTGCACCAGCGGTGTGCCTACCACTCACTGAGTTCAGAAGAAGTTGTCAAATCCCATGAACTACCATTACAGGTGGTTGTGGGCCTCCATGGGGACACTTTTCATTGAACCCAGGTCCTGTACAAGAGCAGCAAGTGCTCCTAGCCTAACTGATCAGAATTCTCAAGGACCCATCTGTCTTCACTTGTTTAGTAAGGATGGTTTCTTTTCTTTTGAAGTCAGTTGAGTTTTTGTTTTAGTTTTAGTTTTTCAAGACAGGGTTTCTATGTGTATCCTTGGCTGTCCTGGAACTTGCTCTGAAGACCAGCCTAGCCTTGAACTCACAAAAATCTGGCTACCTCTGTGTTCTGATTTCTGGGATAAAAGGTGTACACTACCACCACCTGGAAGGTTTTTATTTTTGTTTGATGATTTTTTTTTATTAGCTGTGCTAGTAATGTAATTAATTCAGAATAAATCAGAAGTACAACCATGTTGTGCCAAGTTAAAAATACTGGGATTTCATGTGGTTTTTTTTAATTATATCATCATATTACTAAAGTAGTACATATGCCTCTCCCTTTCACTATATCTATAGAACATCTAGGATCCTTCTTACCCCACCCCCTCCCAGCATCTTTTCTTCAGAAGGAAAAAACACCTATTTATAATTACTTTATTTGTGTGAGTGCCTACATGTATGTAATGTGCAAGCCTGGTGCCAAAAGAGGTCTGAAACTACCATGTGTGCAGTGGAAATTGAACCTGGGTCTTCTGGAACAGCAGCCAGTGACTTGGTGATGGTTCTTTTTTGTTGTTTCTTTGTTTCTTGAGGTAAGATTCACTATGTTGGCTTGATTAGCCTAAGACTCAGCACCGGCTTTTGCCTCTGGCTCTGTCTCAAATGCTGGGATTGAAGTCATGCACCACCAGGCCCAGTTTACAGTCAGTGCTCTTGAACTACTAAGCCATTTCTCCAGCCCCAGGGACCTATATTTTCAGATCATGGAGCTTAAGTGACTGAAAATTAGGAGGCTTGAAGGTGGAAATGTACCACTTACCACCTACCCTCTCTAGAGGGTGAAATTGCACAGTCCTGTGTCCTGCTCTCCCCTGCTGTCTCCACATTTGGCCCAAGATTCTTCTCTCAGTACTCATAATCATCCTTTTGGTTCTTATATCAACCATTCTGTCTTCTAAGACCCCCCCCCAGCCACTTTTATCTCCCCTTCTGCATAGACCTCAGCTCTCAAGCAGGAACCGTATTCCCTGCCTCCGACTCCCTTTCTTACTGCTGAGACAGAAGGAGCTCTCACCTTGAAACTGTTGTTTGCTACAGATATGTGTACCCCGTCGTCTCTTGCTGTATCAGTGGCTCTCAACCTCCCTAATACTGTGACTCTTTAATACAGTTTCTCATGTTGTGGTGTCCTCCAACCATAAAGTTATTTTCACTGCTACTTCATAACTGTAGTTTTGCTACTATTATATAATATAAATATCTGTGTTTTCTGATGGTCTTGGGTGACCCCTTGAAAGACTCATTCTATCCTCAAAAGGGTCACAGCCCACAGGTTGAGAGCCACTGTGCCGTATGGTCTCATCTACTTGGCTTTTCAGGAATTTCTTGCAAATTCTGCTTTGCTGTTTGATCCTGTTTTTGTGTTATTCAGCTTCATTTTGAATCTATTTTGTATTTGGAAGTACTTTTCGTATCATTTCTTGGATGTGGCTGAGATAGGAAAAACGGTGTTTTCTTCTGTACTGAACCCCTCAGCCCCCTGTGCACATTTCTTTTACTCTTGCTCTCACACCCTATTTCTCCCTGTCTTTATTGATGTTGCTGGGTAGATAGAATGTTGTACCTAGATCCTCACTTTATATGTTGTTTGTTTATTTGTGTGTGTGTCTGTCTGTCTGTCTGTCTTCCTATGTAGACTAGCTGACCTGGAACTCTTCTATATAAATCATGCTGTCCTTGAACTCCGAGCTAACAGAGATCCTCCTGCCTCTGCTTCTTGGATGTTAAGCTTTAAGATGCGGGCCACCATATAATACCTAATGTAATTACATTGTAACTGATTGTAAAATTGTATAATTTAGAAAAATATAGGGGAAATGTGTGAGGTTATAGATGCAAAGTTTTCCAAATATTTTCAGCATGTGGTTGGT